GCACAAGGAGTGGCATCCTATCAACTTCGTGGCTTTTTATAAATGAGTCACAATTCTCAGTGAAGCATACTGTTTATTTTAACCTTTGATATTCTAGTAAGAGCCTGTGCCTTGCGTCTCTGGCTGTGAATCTTTTCACACTCAGCTTCTTCATAATGAGCTCTAGCCAACTTTGTCCTTGAGTTTAAATAGTTGTTTTCCCTGCTCCTGTTGGCTCCTTTTCTATTTATAGAGGGATCAGAGCTCTCAGGCCTGGGCTTCCCGGATCAACACCGGGTTCGGAGGCCGAGGAGGGCAGCCTCTTGCGTGCTGGACCCCTCGTTCCCTGGTGCTCCCAGCAGGTATTCCTTGTGGCAGCTCTACACGAATTAGATTTTCTTGCTACAGAAGAAGCTACTAGGCACAGCTTGGMATTTGCCTGCTTCGTGTCAGCACTCCGGTGGCTTGTTTGTCGGGCGCCTGTGGCATTTGGACCACAGAAGTAGAGACCAACTCAAGGGTGACTCCCTCCTCCATACACCCACACATGGCATTAGTGTCTTTATCTCRTTGTTACTCAGTCCTTGTTACTGCAGTGTTCCTAGTGAATTCTTATGAATTACCCATTTTCTTTTTTTGTGCAGGATTAAGGCAGTTTTATAGATGAGACATGCACTCTATCTTTGCTTCCTAGTGATATTCACTAAGTGCATAAATACACATAATAAGTGCTGAGCTGATGTAACACAAAATCTGTCTTATTAACATTTAGAAACACAAGACCTTACTAATGAAGCACATATTTGCCTTAACAGAGTGGCTTTTTAATCAGAATGGTGGGATGTGTCCATAGGGGAGGCTATTCCCTGTTCCAGGATACCTAGATAATACTGTTTAAGAAGAAAGCTATATTTTTATCTCTTCCCCCTTGGCAGTTAGTGATTTGAATTTAGGAATGAGTAATTCATGTTGCTGGTTAGTGTGCCGGGTTATTGTTTTTCCAGTGCTGAATTACGTGGTCCCCTCTCTTTGTTAGCTTTCCCTGGAATTTCTTAGTCTTCAGTAACCACAAGTTTGTTATGAGGTTGTTTACCCATTGCTTTTCAGATAATTAAATAAGGCTAAGCAGTTTCCTTGTAGGGAAGCTTGGAAGGACTACCGTCTTTTGGGGATTTTTAAAAAATACAGTTGTCCTGGAAGGGCCTAGGATTGCTTTGAAGTTCTTTTCCTACTGAAATTCGTCTAAATTAAGTTGTTATACATGGATACAAAGCTAACATTAAGATTGAAGATGCTGCAATAATTGCTGGAGATGATATATAGATTTTTGGGGGGGATTTTGTGGACAGAAGTGAGGGTAACACAAGCTCCATGTTAGCCAGAATCATGACCTGTAAAATGCCCATAATTAGTCTGAAAGCTCTAAAGACAATTAGGAGATAATACTGAAGTCCAAGCAGGACAAAACCCTGGCTAGGTAGGAGTAATTCAGCGTGAGGTGCAAGGCTCAAGGCTGTGGTRCACCTGGAAGACGCACCAAGGTTCGCGAGAGGCTCGGGGCCGGGGGAGTAGCTCATCAGCCCTGTTGCTCTGAGCGGCCACCTTGGTTAGCTGCTTAGTTTTGAGACTCCTTGGTGTTAACTGCTTAGTTTTGAGACTTGTCTTTCAATACTTCACCCTCACTGGTGATGATAGCATATATAGATGGCTACTCTCTATGATAACTGAACTAGAAGATCAGGAAACCTAACACTATCTTTCCTAAGTGCATTTGTGCAGATATTTAGGCAAACTGGAAAGATGGTAATCTATAAAAAGACGTTCTCTATAAAAGCTGTGGTTCTGTGTATCTTTCCTTTAAGTAAGCACACGGGAAATAGAACACACTGGGACACACAATCAGTGCAAAGGAAAACCTCGCATGTACAACTGGTTACCTTTGCTTTGAAATAAAGACCTCCATTACATACCTCAGTACAATGCTTAGTTCAAACCTTAATCTACATCTGTACAAATTGCTGTTTAAAATGGTACCTGACARCTGCAGTAAAACTCTGGTGCAGGATCTTGGTAGACACCAGTTATATCACAGAATCCAAACTGCAGTCTCATTGATCAGGACTATTTCAACATTTATTTTAAAACGCTGTTCCAGTGCTTTGCTACCTCTACTTGGAAATGTTAGAACTAATCCACAGCATCTCTCTAAGAAGCTAATCTTAAATCACGAGCAAATTTTACTGTGGTCAAAACAGCTATGGGGCTCAGCACGGAGATAACTCAGTGAGGAATAGTATCTGCAGAATATGGAATGCCACAAAGCACAGCTTGCAAAACCAAAGGCACTAATGTGATGATAAAGCCTTTCCTCTATACTACTCAGTAATGAAACAAAGCTAAAATAAAATGCTTTCCTCATGTAGAATTTCTGTTCATTGCAAAAACAACCTACGGCCCAGCACAGTGTTTGACTTCTTGGGGTGTGGCAAGGAAAGGGAATACTCATCCAGAAAAAGAAATCGTATGTTTTCCAGTGAGAAGTATTTTCCATGGAAGTGAGTCATGCAATAACTTGAGGCTTTCTTGAAACTATTTAGTTCAACTGGTTTGCTGTAACAGTCACAAGTTTTCAGAGACCCGCTATGTGGGACCTGCCAAGCTTATAAAACGCTAAACTTGCAGCGTTTTCATTGCTGAAGTATGACATATCTTTGGGGGAAAAATAAAAAAGGAACAAAAAAGCAAGAAAAACAGTACTGTATCTGCAAATGTCCATTTTAGAATCAAACGACTGAGTATTTCTGCTAAAAGAGCTGTACAAATGCATRGCAATACTCTGCCCGTACCAAAGGAGGAAGCTGTGAAACTAAATTTCAGTGCTGTCCAAACATAATAGAAATTAAGTCTTTTATCCCTGTGCATCCTCCTGCAGGAATGCACAGCGCTCTCGGATGCCTGGTTCTCATCAGCCCACATAGCTTAGCCCAAATACCTCCATCTCACAGGGCTGCAGAAGAAGCTCATTCTCACTCAAAAATATAGAAAACAAACAGGACAATTTCAGCCTCAAGCCCCTATTCTGGTACCTGTAGATGGGTGACTATAGTCACCCTGAGAGTATAGGTGTCTCAGCTGAAGGTGTTTCAATATGGTGTTAATCTCAACATTTTCCCTAGTTCACCCAGTATAAAAGTGTAATATGTGTTGCAATAAAACATGTAGCYGCCCTCAGTAAACCTGGAAATGTAACTGAATTGCATGTGTGAAGCCTCTAGCTGCACTGCTGCTTGCTCAGGTTTTCAGATTGCATCTTCGTGATAAATATGCAAAAAAGCCACTTTTTTTGTGTTCTGTTTCCTTGTTAAAACCATTCAAAATAAGCAACCCTAGCTCCGAATGCACCCGCTGCAATATTTTGTGTGCCTGCAGCGGTGCTGCTGGTGCGAGCGTGGCAGGGCCGCCCTGTGCGCAGGGCTCGGTGCAGCTGGAGCGGGCGCGGGGCCGGGCGCGGGACAGAGCTCAGCCCTCAGCCTGGGGATCCCTGCCTGCGGCGTCTCACACTGCACTGCTGCGCCTCGGGGGCTCCGCTTCGATCTCACTGGTTTTCCCTGCAGAAAGTATCTTGGAGGCCTCCAGTTCAGGGCTTCCTCGGTACCCGTCGCTGCCGCAGGCGGGAAGTGGTTAATCCAGGCCTGGAGCCCACCCTCCTTGCCGGGCTGCACATTGGCATTCTGCGCGGCCAGGTCTTAATTGGACTCGCATAAGAAGGCAGAGCTTGGCCCCCAATTTTGCCTGGGTGCCATTTACTTCCCTGGACACCGGGACTGCGTCCAGAGCCGTGGGGAATGGCTTTCACAGGGCAAGGCGCTTTAGCCGGGATAATGCCTCCTTCCTCTCTGAGCACCCGAAAATGTGCCTCTCCAGAGAATACGGGTTTGTGGCTCCTCGTCCCCGCCTCGGAGGGACACTCTGTGCCTGCTGCGAGCCACCGCRCGCCTGGACACAGCCTGCAGCCCGTCCTTGCAGTGCCTGGGCAGCAGAGGAGAGAATAAATTCTGCACAGCTCTCCTAGGGCTAAAGATAAGATGATAATGATAAGACCAAGCCTGAAAGAGGCTCATGCAGAGCTGTTGCCTCATGCACTTGTGGGRTCTACCATGCTTAGGCCTCTTCAGGCTTATATATGTGCACCTAATGTCTAAAGTTTTCTACTTTGCAACTACCTCTAGAACACGAGTTTTAAAAAATTGTATTGGGTCAACTTACTGGACAATCTTCTTGGAAGACTTTTAGGAGACAGCCAAGTGATGAGACCTCTCTCCCTTTGCGTTATCATTTCCAGTGGGTTCCAAGCCGCCTTGAAGGCCGCGGTCACCAGGTTTGAATGTGAGCTTCTCTCAAACCCGTGAGCACAGATCTGGATCCCCTGTCAGCGCACGCTTGCGTGCACGATGCGGATGGTGCCAGCTTTTATACAGGGTGCAGGACGGGTGGCTGGGTCACAGCCTGCCTCGCTGGTGGGGTTAGTGTCTCAGAAAGCTCTGAGCACATTGGGACTAGCAGAGCGGCTCGGCGCTCCGCGCGTGGCCGTCAGAGCCGCGAGGCCGCGAGTGGCTGCGCTGGAGCACGGCCAGGCCTATTACAAAGCTCATCGCTCAACAGAAGCTGGCATTACCCTAGCAGAGGGATGTTGATTATGACCTCTGCTGATAAGTTACATGCAGGAACACAGTTCATGTTGCATAAACAGCGAGTGGAGTTCAAAGTTAAAGATGTCACAGTATGCTCGTGGGCTTCATCAGTCTSTCTGAAAACAGGCACTATCCGTCTGGCACTCAGGGAACCCGCTCCTTTGTTCTAGGCTGAGTGCTGCTGTTGGTAGAAAATTGTTCAAGTTTTTAATTCCTGCTAAAGAAAACTATTTCAATAAGAGAATGAGGGACTGTTCTTAAATATTGAAAGGCAAATGGGTTTCTAAGTTGAATTCCTTTTTTTTTTTCCCCTGTGTGTCTTGCAGGTATTCGTTATAGTATGGATGTTAGCGTGGATGAAGTGAAAGCCTTGGCATCTCTAATGACATACAAATGTGCTGTGGTTGGTAAGTGATGATTTGTGAAGCAAGAACATAGCCTAGAAGCTTAGTCTGATGTAATTACTGATATAATTTGCAGAAAAGTATTTGAAGGATTAAATTACACTTTAGGCACTAATCTTTCACTAAAATTTGCTTCAAGTGGGTAAAAAACAGACAGTGACAAATATAATTATTTATAATTTGTCTGCTGTTACAGTAACTTTTTGGACCAAAATCAAGTTGCATTTTCATTGGAAAATCCAAACTCTGCTAGTTGCCCACCTATGAAAGTACAGTTTCTATAAGACAAATCCATGTATGGCAGACTTGAGTTGGGAGGAGGTCATTTTAAGGGGAGGGTATGATAGAGACTGTGAAGGATTGAGGCAGGGGAGATCTGGAGGGATATTTATCTGCAGAGATAAATTTCCTTTATGGGTTATATAAAAAAAAAAGCATAATTCATATATGGCTGCTTAATTACAGGGGAATTTGGAGAGCAATTAAACATTATATGCCTGGAAACAAAATATGTATACAGAGAAAGTTCTTTTGTATAGAGAAACTTCACTTAAGACTTACAGTGCAAAATAAACTGTAAAACTTACTGTTTTTAGAAATACTAAGTAGAAGAGCTTGAAGGATACAAGATCTAAATCATGAACTTAAAGTTTTAAAGACAATTTTCAAGCTGCCCTTGAAAGATTTCCCCTTTTAAAAGGAGCTCCCAGATTAGATTATAGCTTACTTTTGGGAAGCCCTGAGCATGGCAAAGCTAAATTCCTGCGAAAATCAAAGATATAGTGATTCACACAAATTATTGACTTGTTCTGCCTTTATTGTTGAAAAAGTAAAATGATTTTCCTTTGCATTCTTGTAGATGTGCCATTTGGTGGGGCAAAGGCTGGTGTCAAGATCAATCCCAAGAACTACACAGTAAGCTTAAATCATAGATAAAAATTCAGTTAACTGCAGTACTGAAGCCAGCCAGTTTAAAAGCTCTTTTAAGAGTATTGTTGGCAACTTAAAATTTCCTGCCACTTCTGCCTCTGTAGAGGCCAAATGAAGTTTCTGTGTGCAATGGGTAGGACAAGTATTCTTAGAAATGGTATACTTCAATCATTTAGTTCCTTATATTTGTATCTTAAGATCAGATGACTGCATACCATTTGAAATCTAATTTTTTTTTCAAGTTGATATTGTTAATAAGGGCTTAAATTAAACTGCTCTCGCAAAAAAGTTAATGTTTTTGTTATTATGACAAATAGTTTTATGGTCCATTAAACCTCTATACGCAGTGTTCCAGTGTAAATAATAGCTAACTTGGGTTATAAAAAGTTCACTGCAGGCTTGCCTTCTTGCCCTAGTTAAAATAAATTGTATAGAAAAGGAATGCTCAAATATATGTAAGATATTCTAAGCTCAAAACTCCTGTGAGGATCGGGGTGAAGTACTCGAGGACTCTCTTGCTTATGTAACCTGCAGGGCAACTATTGCTGTTGCTGGGTATGAATTTGTCAGGCTATGGGACTTGTTTGCTGGAAGGCTCTGCTATAAACATAGGTGTTTCTCTGTGCTGCATTCCTGATTTGTCATAGATCAGAATGTGCAGAGAGAAAGTCCAGCGTTTCCTTGTGCTCTGCGAGTACCACCAGCCTGGTTGGGAGGGGCACATGGACTATACRTGAAATACATGAATCATCCTTCCTGCTACAAGAAAAGGGCAGCTTTTTCACACTTGGGTAGTATTTCTGACTAATTCTAATCTGTTATGATTAGTTCATAAGCACTAATCATTTCTTGTGATATTTATTGCCTTTTCTTTATAGGATAATGAATTGGAAAAGATCACAAGAAGATTTACCATGGAGCTAGCAAAAAAGGGTTTCATCGGTATGTTGTGCTCAATTTTAGTGGTAAAATATAGGAATCTGATTTATCATACGTTGACAATGTTCACTAGAGAATGTCCTTAAAATAACTGCATTTTTGAGAGCTGTAAATAATTTGGTAAGACACTTCGAGCAAAGAACCACAAAGAATAGGATCACTGCAGCTTACTACATACCGAAAGGGATAATTCATAACCAAGCAAATCATAAGTCATGGCCAAGTTTGTTGCAGTTTTAATCTCTAATATGGAACGGCTCACAGTTACTATTTTCCTGTAGTCTTAGTTGAGGCTTCTGGCAGATACCAGAGGAAACAGGAAGGAAATGGAAGATCCACCCCAGAGAAAGTTCTGATGGCTTCACCCCTGGCAACCTCACGCTRCAGAGGAAGCTGAGCAAGAAGCTTCGGTGTCTGTTGTGACAGCACCTCAGCTTTTGTAATGGCAGCAGGRGTTTCATTCAGAGTCTCAAACCTGAGCTGCGCTCAAGCTTGTGTCTGACAGTCTGCAAGTTTTCTCTCAGATAAAACTGGGCACTATCAGCTCAGCTCCTGATTAAAGGGAGGACCTTTAGCTATAGAAGGTTCTTTTTCAAGTGAAGGCATGAGGTAGGGCATATAGCCAGTCAAGTGTCTGCCATGTATTCCTGGTGTCTGACTGCCTTTAAGAATGTAAATTAATATATCAACATTTTCTTGCTCTCAAACCAGAGTGATTCTCATGAATATTATACTTCTTTCAAAAGCACTAATTGCTGTTATGTGTAACTAGTGTAATACGATTCGCTATACTGCATACTAACTGCAACAATTTCTAGTTCATTGCTAGCTAAAATAGTTGGATGAAATTAACCTTCCTTTCTGGCTTTATGGTAGGGGCTGAACAGCTTTCAAACCCTTTAAAAAGGCCACTTTGTAGAGACAGACATGGCTTTAAAGCCTTGCTGAGCAGAACTCTTTGACCTTAAATAGGTTGGATAAATGCTTCTTTTAATTATCTAGCAAAAATAGAATAGATTTGCTGTGGGTACAACAGATGTGCAAAGGTTCTGCCAGAGGTTTAGTTCATGAAGAAAGCTGTAATATACTTTACTTGAAATGAGAGGTAAATTCAAATGTATTTACTGTAATCAGTGATTAGAACAGCCTACTAAAATTTCTAAACAAATGTTTAAATTCAACTAGGGAGGAAAAAGAAATTCATAGAAATGTGTAAATATTCTAATAGAAAAACATTAAATGTATGTAGGATCATACAATAATGATGTCCTTTCTGTTCTAATAGCAGCCATCATTAAAAAAATAAAAATATGATTCAGATGCATTATCTTTAACTTTTCATTGACAAACTGACCTTCATTTTACTGTCTTGTGTATTGCACAATTATCAACTGAATTGAATCCAAGCAAACCTGTTACTTGAGTAATSAACTGAGGATTAAATAAGAAAATTCTTTGCCAAGTCCAGTTCAGTTCTCAAGGGAACAACATTTGAAGATAACTGTTCATGTCTGAACCTTCAGAGCTGTTTTCCTGTTGCCAACAGGACCTGGTGTTGATGTGCCTGCTCCCGACATGAGCACAGGGGAGAGGGAGATGTCCTGGATTGCTGACACCTACGCCAGTACCATAGGACACTATGTAAGTTTGGGGCAGAGACTAAGCTATTGGATGTTTGAAATTAAAAGATGCTTCATTATCACTTTCTGCAGTCACTTCCAGCAGCTCATGAGAAATACAGAGGGGTTTTATGTGTTCCCCAACACCCCCTGGTAGCCAGGCCTTATAACTGCTGGACACGTATTTCCCTGGCACGTCTGGTCAAGGCCTGCTTGACTGTCCCAAGACAGTGTTCTTCCTGGCAAAATACTTGTCCTGGGCTATTTGTTGCCCATACCAATCACGAAGAGGGTGGCGTGGGTTGTCCTAGATCTGAAATACAGTCTGAGGTGCCTCTGGGGGGAAAAAAAGAAAGACTGCTTGAAGAGGCTGTAGCAAACGGATTACTCGTGTTGAATAGCTTTTGCACAGAGCTGCCTCTTGGCCCGGGAAGTCTAAAGCGCTACTTGCTTTTGGGCATTCACGCATTTAGATGCAAATCCTTCATGAAAAACCTCAAGCTTTACAAAAGTAAAAAATACTGCTTAGGGAACATTTCAGGCTGCAACGTGACAACTTACTCCCCAGTCATAACTTAAGAAATTTAAGAAAACCACTGCCTCAAGGTATTAAGTTTTAGTACAGTAAGCATAGTCCTTGCACTCAAACGCATACTCCACTGGGATGCTGCAGACTTGGCACTTTTAAGAATGATGCTGAAGGCTCACAGCAGGCACACAACTYTGTTAACAGTCCGTACACATACAGCAGTGCTGTAAAGCAGCTTCCTTTTTGTTAGGTGGAAAACTAAACAGTGATACAGGAAAAGATTTCTTATTCTTCCCACCTCGTGATCTCAGCTTATACTGTCCTTAATGATAATGATAAGCACATTTCACCAAGAAAACAAAAAAAAMCCCRAAAACCAGCTATTGTAGATTAAGAAATAATAATAGTGGTAGTGGTAGGCAGCAATGTCTTCTTTTATTTCTAAGCTGTCTCTGCGAGGCATTGTCTTAGTCCTGAAGAACCAACGCAGCTAAGAAAATATAGCTCTATTTTTCTGAAAAGTGGATTAAAGAATTGGAACAGTAAGGGAAGTTACTTCTTTTTGTAGGGTTGTTTGGTTATAAATGGAAGAGATAATGGTAGCTGTAGCTGGACTCAGGAACTATTGTGAAAAATTACCAGGTGTAGAGAAAAAAGGCGAGAACTCTGTCAGGGCTGATAAGAGTGCAGTAATCTATCAAAAGCAGTTTGTAGAGGAAGATGTTTCAGGTAACTAGCTGGCTGGGACACCAAGAACAACACTGAAGACTATTGCCCAATGTATAAAAGTGACAATGAAGGAGAACTGGAGAAAAAAAAAACACCATTGAACAGAAGCTGAAACTCATGATAACCTAGAGAAAAGACAGCAGCTGTGTGAAGGACCCCAGGCAGCTGAGCAGGGAGACAGCTCTTTGGGAGGGTCTGTTTGGGAAGGTACCGACCTGATAACTCAGTGTGACTGTGTGCACATCTGATGTATACACATTGCTTTTTTATTTGACTTTAAAATGTAAGTRTGATGGCAGTTTGGGGCTCTGACATTTACTGTGGTCTGAATATGTGACTTTGAAGACCTGCCCTCAGCTCATGCTCTGTTTCTTATCAAATGATGCAAGTCTTTAATAACTACCATGTTAACTGTTCTGGAAAATCCAGCTTATGTTCCTGGATGACTGAATTATACACCGCTAAGGTGTTTGATTAAAATCATCCTTTTCTGCTCGTCTGAACTTTCCAGTACATGAGCCTGACTTGTAGGAGATATGAGGAGACTTTAATAAACACATCCCTGTCAGTGGTAGGAGGCTGCACTCATTTGTGTGCCCATAAATCACACTCTGCCTCCTTTGTGGATCATGAAGGCTGAGATACAGTTTCAGTGCAAAGAACAGGATGAGAACCCACTAATACTTCGGAGAACCGAGCCAGGTTGTTTCCATCTGACAGCCTGGATCTTGCAGGCGAACCGAGGGACCACAAGGGCCGCCAGAGGGAGCAGCAGCTCAATGAACAAAACGCAGCCGCGCTGGGGAAACTGAGTCAGGAACTTTGTGCTGGAGCCCAGCACCATTTTCACTGCGTTTAGAGGGGACCTAGCAGAGGCTGCAGTTACCTCTCCGTGATTTTCAGGCAGTCTGTAGGTTTGCTCTCCGCTATGGCTCTAATCACCTGCTGCCATCCTGCCTGAGCCTTCCCTTCCTCTCATGCAGCACTGCTCCGTGCCCTGCTCCATGCGCTGGCATGGAAATGCCTCTGGCACAAGCCGTGGCGAGGCGGGAGCCTGGCGGGAAGGCGCTGCGGGAGGATCCGTGCCCGGCGCGGCTGCCGGCAGCTCCTTTCAGYGCTGCCTTTCCGCCTGCTGCCAAGGCGCTGCCTGCCTGCGGGGCAGCCCCCCGGACGGCGGGGCCTGGGAACCACCGGGCACAGAAGGGCCTTTTCCAATTACTGCTTTCAACTGAGGAATCGGCTCCAGCCTTAAGGAGGCTGTTTGTTCGCAGCTAGCTTGTAGAAGACTTGATTTTGGTTGGCAGCAGATTTAAGGTGGAAGCTGGGTGCTTCTTACCATATTGCTGAGTAGAGGTAGAAAAATAGAAGTGGAAAATACTTGTCTAGCCTTTCCTAGGTGACCTTTGTACTGTAGATTTTTTAGATAAGACAGGATCCCTGTGCTGTGACAACAGGAAGGTGTTGGGCTTTTATTGTGTTTCTAAATAACTGAATTTGTATAAAAGATCACTAAACACTAATAAAGATAATTAAATGGCTTTAGCTGTGAACAATCTCAAGATGCATCTGAACCCTTTTAAGTATTAAAATGTCAATCAAAAATGATAATGGAAGTTACAACTGCTATAGGGGTTAATATTGAGCAACACATCCCTCGAAACTTTCTGATTTGTCCAAGCTCTGCTCTTTGCTAACAGCCCAACAGTAGTGTCACTATCATTAACCACAAATTCAAGTCCATTTGGGTGCAACAACAACAAAACAATCAGACCACATCTAATACTGCATTGTATAAATTTCCTGACACCTGCGGAAGTATTATTTTCTTTTGAGAAGCTGTTGAGACAACCTTAGGAAGGAAGTTGGCTTTGTAAATTAAATATATATAAACTGCAAGTTCTGTCTTTAATAATACCTGGATCCCTATGTCTCTAAAGTGCACAAAACTTGTTCCAGCTGTCCTCTCCCTGGCTGCTTCCCTAGCTYACAACTCTGTCATTGCTTTCCAGGACATCAATGCACACGCATGCGTTACTGGTAAGCCCATCAGCCAAGGTGGGATCCACGGACGTATATCTGCAACTGGTCGTGGGGTCTTCCACGGAATAGAAAACTTCATCAATGAAGCATCATACATGAGTATATTGGGAATGACTCCTGGCTTTGGGGATAAAACATTTGCTGTTCAGGTAACTTTTTTTCCCCCCCCCACTTAAACTACAGGGAAAAAGTGGTAAGAAAAATTCTGGTAGAGTTGCTTTTAGAATGGGCTTTAGCAATAAACCKTGTTAGAGTTTTACAGCTTTCAAGATTAACCTTTACTCTCAAACTTTAGAAATGCTTCTCAAACAAGAGAGGTGCCCTTTATTTTGGACTGTTTTATAAAAACTGAACTTTTGATTGCACACTACAGGCACAAAGCCAAACCTCCAGTCTTTGTAAACCTGGTTGCGAAGACCAAAATGAGTTACTACTACAGCAGCTCTTTAAACTAAGGCACTGCACACATCTTAATGAACTGTGGCGCTATTTTGGCCTAAAGAAAATTTGCTGTACCTTTCTCTAACAAAATAAAATCAGTAAAGAGTGTGGGAATTGAGTAATATGTTCCTGTTCCACTAWAGACTAAATGGTTGTGAAAGCAGAAACTGATAGTGATACCGATAGCTGAGTGGAGGGTCTGAGCAACTGCTTTGTTTGGAGTTGTCTTTCGTATTGACTCAGTGGTTGTYAGAAACAGCAGAGTCCACAGAGCGGGACCTCTGCGTTGGCCTCAGCCGGGCAGGGCCTGAAACGAAGGGCTCTGCCCTGCCCGGAGGCAGCAGCTCTGCCTGCCCCGGGGCCTCCTGTGCTGGCCGTGGGCTATCCAGCACGCCCTAAAGCGGGACATTAAACTGGAAAAAGGGCCAATGAAGTAGCTGTGGGTTCTTCTAGGAAAATGAGGTGTATTATTGCACATAGACCTAGGGCATGCCAAATGGTTACATCAAAGCCTGCCTCTGATAGAGGGAAAAAAATGGAATCTTAGAGATAACTAGAGCTATCTTCTACAGGGATTTCATACTGAGCTKTTTTTTCCTGGATAGAATCTTACTACAAACTGATGGATGAGGATCCTGGGACCATTTGGTCTGCCCTTTGTGCTCTTCTGCTACCACAGTGTGGAATAATGGCCTGGAGTGAGGTGTTCTACTCCTGTAGAGATGTACAAAGTGCTAATGAAATGCAAGGTTATCTAAATTTAAATATAAGTGATCTGTTTTGTATGGGATTGCTTCAGAAATGCATTAAAAATAACACAGCTTCCTGATAGCTTGTTTGAATCTAAAGAATTAATTACATCCCTTGTTTAATGCTTTCTATTCTGGGAGGGTTTTGTCCTTGTAAGCCTTCCTTACCCAAACTAAGTGAGAATATTATTTTGCCTACAAACATGAATCTCACCTTGAAATAGTTACATAGAAATTTATGGGCCCCTTTAGGGCGGTTCCAGTCATAAAATAGATAAACATAAAGTTGCTATGAAAGTATCATGACACTGAACACTTCCCTTACAGTTTTTCAGTATGAAAAGCTTTGAGCAAGTACACATTCCCTACTATAGTGCACAATTTCTGCCAAGTTATTATTCAGAAGAGAAGGTGTATAGATTTGTGCCATCTTTCCTGTGCACATCATCKGATGCCCAGCCCTTCTGATAGATAAAGAGCCATTCAAAGCCTCAGCAGTAATAGCCAATTTAGCTAAAGGGTTAACCCATGGCTTTCCTTCTTCAGGGATTTGGTAACGTGGGCTTGCACTCTATGAGATACCTGCATCGTTTTGGAGCCAAATGTGTCGCTGTTGGAGAGTTCAACGGTTCTATCTGGAATCCGGATGGGATTGACCCGAAGGAACTAGAAGACTACAAATTGGTAGGAAACTTAGCAGAGAAGAAATGTCTGAAATGTCTCAACTTTGTTGGCTTTGCAAGCACTTAGGATGACTGTAAGCTGGTGTTAATTTGCAATATGTAGATCATGCTGCAATTAGGAATTACCAAATGGCTCAGGAATCTTCCTTTTGCTTTCTCCTAATCGCCAGTACGAACCTGAAGCGTTAACACTAGCAGATCCTGTGGCTTTGGCAGTCAGCTTGCTCCGTAACATTGGGTACTTTCTTCCTTTTAGCCTGACTCTGTAAAAGGGAAAGGGTTTGCATGTGATTATTTAGGATTCAGAATTGGAGCTGGTGCTTATTTTGCCTTTCTTCTGACTAAACTAGGAGGGATGTCTCAAGCAACCAGGCCAGGACGCTCCTGAAAGGTTCCTGCCTGAGAATCATAACCACATGTTAATGCAAGCCCTTCCTGTTGTTTACTTGCTCAGAGAGTGGTGCCAAAGAAATGAAAGCCTGTCTCACAGATACTAACACAGGATTTCTTAAGGAACTTATTTGTCTTCTTTTAAAGAGTGCTTCTGTCCTTTTTTAACCCACTTTCTCAAAAGAATTAAAAGATTCACTAGACAAAGGCCATCAATATAATAGTAAAGTTTAAAAAGGTACTTCTCAATGCTAGGCAAAGCAACTTGTCCTGTGCTTAGCGGACTGGTGGGTCATTCCAATTGTTTGAAGGCTATTGCATTTACCTTGTATTTTAAGGAGTTGAGAGGAATTATACATTTTTGTATACACCAGGGAGCAAACATCTTTGTCCAGAGAGCAGTTATGCCTCCATCGTGGGAGCCTGGATCACTATCTACACTTTGTGAGCTAGATTTATTGCCTAAGACAGGAATTATGCTGTGTGCTGCCTTGCTAGTGCTGTTTTGACCCTCTTCTCTCCCTTGTAAGAAGTCTAGAAGATGGGAGGGAAGTAAAACCAGTGCACACACTAAAAACACTGTGATTTGTTTCCTTGGAACAGCAACATGGGACGATCATGGGCTTCCCCAAAGCACAGCCCCTGGAGGGCAGCATCTTGGAGATAGACTGCGACATTCTCATCCCTGCCGCCAGCGAGAAGCAGTTGACTAAGGCCAATGCTCACAAGGTCAAAGCAAAAGTAAGTTGGAGAAGCCAAATGCAAATGAGAAGTGGAGAAAGGCTGCGTGAATGCTCGTATTCACCAACAAGCGTGGCTGCAAAAGTACAGCTCTCATTTAGCAGTTGCTCTGCTGTGGTCCCTTTCAGATTATTGCCGAAGGTGCCAATGGGCCTACAACCCCTGAAGCCGACAAAATCTTCCTGGAGCGGAATATCATGGTTATCCCYGTAAGACTATCTTGATCGTTGACTTCTCTTAGGAGTAATGTTTCCATAAACCATAGCAAAATGTTATTTATTGAACTTTTTTTTTTAAGAGTTCCTCTGATGTTTGAAAATGGGTACAAATTTTCCTTAAGACGGGGAAATAATTATCTAAAGATCTCACAGCAACAGTAAATGCCCACTCAAAACAACTATCCCATGAAGGCTACATCTTCAGAAGGAAGCACAAGTATTTCTTAAATAGGTTCTGTAGTTTTCCCTTTTGGAGTATTAGTTGCTATTTTCCTAAGTAATTCACTAAAAAGAGGAGAAAGGCAGAGCAAATACACCCACTACTTGTTTGTAAACATCATGTCTGTGAATGATGGTCTGGCTAACCTGTCTATCACAGACCGATGGATTACATGTTGCCCACAGTAATAATTGGAAGGAATAAGACCTGCTCAGGAATAATGATATCTGGGAGAAAGGGAGTCCCTGTTGAGTAAAAAGATCTTAAGAGCAGCTGCTCCTCTGGCCTTTATCAGTTGAGATGACCTAAGGATGCCCTAGTTTTCTTGCTCGAAAACTTGTACTAAAATAAGAGTCAAACAAGCAAAACTGTACTGGTTTCTAAAGACAAGCCTGCTTTAAGGCCAACAGAAGTAATCCCTGGGCTCCAGAAGGGCATAAATATTGTCACACAGGAATAACTAGATTGACTTCTTCACTGCTATTTAAACTAATGTTTTGCACTTAGTGTTTTTGCTCACTTTTCCTAACTACAATTCAAGACATCTCTTTTTTTCTGCACTGTTTCTGTGTAGGATCTCTACTTGAACGCTGGTGGTGTTACAGTATCCTATTTTGAGTGGCTGAAAAACTTGAACCACGTCAGTTATGGGCGCTTGACTTTTAAATACGAAAGGGATTCAAACTACCACTTGCTCAGTAAGTGCTCAGTTCTGTTTKCACTTCTTCCTTTTCGCTTCATCCTTTTTCTGTTACCATCTTGCAATTCTTGAAGTAATTTTTTTCATTTTTGTGAAAATACTGACTACAAAGCCACTTGTGGAATACTTTGTAATAAACTTCTTACATCTCTACGCTTGGTATTTGAGCAGTATTCAGAGTTTTGAGTGATAACATTGTTCTGCACGTACAACAATGGAGAATTTCTGTGAAAGTCAGTGATATCACTGGCAGAGGCACTGCAGAAACTGGCTTATGTAGTTACTGTAGATATGGGGATAAGTAACACGGCTATGAAATACAACAGGAAATAATTTATGGCTTTAACTATTTTATCTGATGCTATCAAGATGGGAAGGTTGGTCAAGCTTGCTGTCAGCTTTCTGCAGCTACTAAGGTAGGATCAGTAAAAGCTACAGTGTGCTCATGTCTGACTTCATCCCAGCAGTATCACTGGAATATTGATACTTGTATTGGAGGCCTTCATATATAAAACTATGGGATTAACATCCTGTCTTTTTCTTAGAAAGCAAAGCATAAGATGATCTCCCCCCCCCAGCCCACCCCTGTAATCTGCATTTCATTTTAAATTGCTGTGAGGGCAGGGGAAGATATTTCTTTGAAACACACTGGTTACCTTGCCTCTGTTTTTTCTGTTTTCTAGTGTCTGTCCAGGAAAGCTTGGAAAGAAAATTTGGGAAGCATGGTGGAACTATTCCAGTGGTGCCTACAGCAGAATTTCAGGATAGGATATCAGTGAGTAGTTGCTATTAGTTTTGGCTGTTCTGAAGCTGTATCCTGGTGTTAATAGGGAGGGATTTTGCACCAAGGTGCTACTGCAATTACCTGTATGGCCAAACAATTAAAAGGAAAGGATCTTAACTGCTCTGGATTGCTGAACACACACCTTTTGTTTTTGGTATCCTAAGAAAAGTATCCCCAATATTGCTAAAAAGCTACAGTTTTAATATAGACTTCCCTTTGTGTTGATAACAGCTTCACAGTGTTAGWTCCCTATTTAAATGGCAAAAATCTCAGTCCTTTTTAAAAATACCAAATGTAGCCTATTGTTATTACAAAAAAAAAAAAGGATAGTTATCTTCTGTTACTGCCTCGGATTTTAGACTCAGTGCATCTGAGGTTCTACGATTGACTTTACCACTTAGCCCTTTGAATACCACAGTAAAGTTGATAGATTTTTAAGTCTTGCGTCAGTCATTAAAAGAATATAAAATCAAGCTTCAATAATCATGAGCATCCATCATCATTATCCCTTATGCAGGACAAATCCCTTTTTTTTTGTATTTTGAATTAAACCCCAATTCTGTTCCCCTTTCTTGCAGGGTGCATCTGAGAAAGATATCGTCCATTCTGGTCTGGCTTACACAATGGAGCGCTCAGCCCGGGTAAATACCAYRTTAAGAGAACGTCCTTGTAGGACAAGGAGAACGTAAGGGGCTTTGCAACAGTGGCCGAGTATGTTGTGCAGCACTTGCTTCCACCAAAAGGAGTGGATAAACAGTTCACTGCAGCAGAAGCCATTGGGAGCCTGGGGCCTGATGCCTGCGGGGACAGCCAGCTGGGGACTAGCACACGGTCATTACAGACTAACACATGAAATCAGAGAGGATTTTCTAGTATAAACTGTAGTAATCAGAAATATATTCACTGTCCCCTTGTGCTTGACTGATGTGGGACAGATAGGAGAGTTTACTTGCCACTACCACTCTCAGAGTGATCCCTTTGCACAGTATTTTTAGCTGGTGGGACAGAGGCTTGTAAAATTTGTCGTTTGCCCATGTATTTTAGGTATGGATCCATCCAAGACCAAAAAGGAACAATGGGAAAGTCTAGGAACGATTTTCTGCCTTTTACATCTCAGATGTAGAGGGAAATAAAGAGTCAGACTTGATCCTCAGAAGCCCTAAACTCTGATATCAACTGCAAAGATCCTCTRAGAAAAACCTAATGTAGTTGAAGTGAAGAAACTTGCAGAAAACTTACGTAAACCTTTTCTGTTTCAGCAAATCATGCGCACTGCCATGAAGTACAACCTGGGTCTGGACCTGAGAACAGCTGCCTATGTCAATGCAATTGAGAAGGTCTTCAAAGTGTACAATGAGGCTGGCCTGACCTTTACATAAGCAGGCCCCTACTGCTCCTTATTGTATCCCATCCTTCTTGCCGTTCATGTACCCTTTTCTTGAAAAAGCTTATCACAAGTTTACATGTAACCACAAAAAATTCTTTTCTTCTGACATTATAGTGGATTCTATTCTGAATTAGTTTCAGTCCAAACTAGTTTTTTTATATAATAAAATCCATGAATTAGGATATTGTATACAAATATATACCTGAAGATAACCATTCATCTGCACTTGTGGGGGCCATTCTGGGTATTTCGCCTACAAAAACAAAATGGTACATTTTATGTATGGAAAGAGTGGCCACGCCACCTGGCCACTGCTCAAACTTCAGATCAGATACTGTACTATATGAGCATTTTGCTCACTATTACTTCATGCACTTTTGTTTAATTATGTAATTTTGGCTTTGGCACTTTCAGTAAGGCCTTGTATGATCAATGCCATGGCATTGTCAGAGGAAGAATGGGCCTCCAGCAGGGATTAAYTTTGATAGGAATCTAATTTTTATTTGTAGTAAAGCTTCAGGCCTGATTCCCTTTAGGCAATGTTTTTTTCTTTAACTGTGCTGCTGTTAGAGGACTGCTTCAATTGCTTGTTCAAGCTAGCTTGACTATCACAATGAAATATATAGAGAAGTGACAGAAACTAGTATTTTTATAAGCTGAAACATGCAACTCTAATGTGGTTATGTTTTTAATCAAGTATCTATGTAACTAGTCTGACTAKAGGTTTTTTTTTTTTAAGAAAGGATAATCTGAATTTGATAAGTAATCCTACTCTGAATTTTTGACATTTTTTCAGTCTTTTCCTTTGTGAAAGTAAGTTATTGTCACAGTGAATGACTAAAGTGAAACTGCACCCAGAAATAGTTGGCCAAACTACACAGGAGCTAAATGCTGCTATATGAACTTAATCCACTGTCTTAACACACAGCCTTATTTTTGCCTTCTCTCGCTCTCTCTTTTTTTGTCGTCATCTGGAGATCTTGAATGTTTTGAATATGTTCAAGTACAACAGAATGGACCTTGACACAATATTGGATCAAGCACAGGTTTTAAAGTTTAAGGCTTTTGTCCAGGGGAGTCCCATTTAAGTGCCAGGTGTTATTTATGTAATGAATATGATTTTTTTTTTTTTAAATGCCAACTAGTCCCTCCCAGAAACTCATACTTTTTTTCTAACTACTTTGTAACTGCATGACGTAACCTGGTGGGAAGAGCAGTTATTAAAAAAAAAGTTGACCTTTCCAAACCTCCTATGCTGGTGTATTACTCTTTCGTATTTCACATACTAGGAGCTTTCGATAATGTCCAAACTGGTGAGCGTTCACAGCACCCATATTTATCGTTACATGACTACTGATAACATACACTGAATTATCACAAGGTGCTCACTAAACACCACTTTATCTCATGAACTTGCTTGTTAACAAGCCTGCAGAAGCTGGTGGTGTTTGGTAAGTCATTCCAGGTCRCTGCTGCTTCTCTGGAAGGAATTTGTGTGAAGAAGAACTATTTTAGTAGTTAGCATGGAGCAACAAACCTACCTGTGTGATGCATTAAGCTAGTGGTTTACTGCATGGGTCGGACTAGGTGCTCTCTAGAGGTCCCTTCCAACCTCAACCATCCTGTGATTCTGTGATCATATATGCTGAAAGGCCGGGTTAGAGCAGTACTTTCTCTGGACTAAGTGCCGTATGTTCTTACTGCACTTGATTTACTAAAAAGAAAAAAAAAAAAAAAAAAAAAAAAAAAAAACCACAAACCCACAACACTGAGCGTGGAAAGGTTACTGTCAGCAGAGCATGCTTCTCTAGACAAGAGAGCTGTATCTTGGATGTTACCTTTCAGTAGAGTTTTACATAAACGACTGTGGGATAGAGTGAAATTCCAGGAAGGATTGCATGCATCTGACAGACTGCCACCCCTTTCCAGCAGGATTTGCACGCTGAAGCACTGCAGCAGGTAGCTGCACCCCACGCACCAGCGAGACCCAGCTGGACCAGGGCTTCCTGCAGCGGAAGGGCCAGCAGCAGGAGCAGTGCAGAGCCTGGGCCAGCTGCCTCTATTGCTCCTGTCAAGCCCCACGTCCCGCTGCCGTTTCCTCTCCGTCCCAGCATTACTGAAGTGGTCCCAGGGGGAAACATGACCCCTTCCAGTGCTGAAAAGTGCTTAAAATGATACAAACAGCTTGCACTAGGAGCCAGCTGGAATTTCCCTTACCCACTGCCACMAAAGAGATACAAAAGCTGCAGGGTGCCTAAGCTAAATATTCCATTTCACAGCTAGTGTCATAGCCACCCRGTAGCACTTGTTCCCCCACAACGCGCTGCAGGAAAGCCCTTAGTGTGGCTGGATCCCCTTGCCCAACTTGTGGTAATGTTCCCTCACCTCTTACCAGCAGCCGTGCTGGAGACCTGCAGGCATCAACCCGAGTGCAGCTAGAGACGGTACCAAGTGGGAACAGCTCATGGAAAAGCTCAGACTCCGAAGCGTTGCCTCGTGCACGGAGCACGGCAGCCCCTCTGCCCTATAGCTGCAGGCACAAACCGAACCCCCGCAGCGCGTTGGGGATGCGGCTGTGACCAGGCAGGACAGGGCTGCCCCCGCTCCTAACCCCGACCTCGGTGAGCGCGGCAGGGCGGCCGCGGGAGCTGCTCCATCCCCAGGGATGGTGCCACAGGCRCCACACACCCCCAGGCACAGCCACRGCTTCACCTGCACGCCAGGCAACCCCGGCATCGCGTCCGAGGCCATCGGCTCACGAGCCCCACGGCGGCGCTGGCTCCCCCACGGCTCCMACGTGCTGCACAACTGCTGCAGCCTGCTCCGTGAAACCCGGGGCAGCAGGGCTCCCTCATGCACGCACGCGCAAACRGGGCCTAAAGAACACTTGCAAGACATGGAGGTTTTAAGTTTTTTATTAAGAGTACACRTACAAGAGTACAAATTTTCAGTAGTGTTACATTATCCTCACTGTCCAAAGCTTTTTCCCCAGGCAGTGGCTTGATTTGCTACATTTTTTACAGCTTTCTCACCGGTTTCTGCCACTTTGCAGACTTCATCAAGAGCTTTAAAACAGAGAAAAAGAGAAGTGACTGTAGCATGGTTGTAACGTGTCACCAGTATTGCAGCAGCAGCAGGTGAGAGGGGCTCTGGAGGGAAAGGGGGTGGGAGACACCGAAGTGCTGTGAGGACGAGGCAGCCTCGGTGGCTTCTCGCTGGCCAGCRCGGCCTGTGGCTGCGGGAGCCGAGGCCCTGTGTGGCCCTGCTGCTCCCGGCCGGGGGTGTCAGGGCCAGGGGCTGGGGGTTCCCGCAGGATGGGGGCACCAGGGAGGWGGCGGCAGAGCGGGGACCTGCCTGGGATTGCCCGACAGGGCACAGCTCTGTGAGCAGCAGCTCTATGTACCTTTCTGGCCTGCATCCTTGGCCTGCTCCACTACTTGCTGCACAGTCTGGCTGGCTGTGTTAACTGGAATTAGAAAAAGAAGTGTAAAATAAGCATTCTCCTTTATCCTTCCCCAAACTCAGTAATCGCATTTTAGGAGGGATCCCTAAACATCTCAGTACGTGAAGGAAGGTTACTCCTCGAGGGTGGGCAGCCCAATGCAGCGGCAGGGAGATGGCCTGAGGGACGTGGCTGTAGCTCCCCACCCCACCTGCATCACTCAGGTACCAGCAAACTGGCCCTAATGGGGAAACAGGGGCAGCAACCCCTCCTTGTGCCGCACGTGCTGCAGAGAGGCAATGGGGCAGCTGTGTGGGGAAGTGGCCTCCCCGCCGCGGCGCCGAGCCCGGGGCCCTGGAGCGCCGCGCTGCGACCGGCCCCTGCTGCCTCGCTTCTCTCTTAGCTAGGAAAGCTTCTTAATGCATCAATATGCAAGTTCAAGGAGCTCTCTGTAAAGGTACAAAGGAATTCTTCAGTAGAGGAGATAGGGATGGCATGAAGAGCAAAATTATAAACCTGGCTTAAGTTAGAAGAATTTCAGCCCTAAAAATACTGAAATTGAGTGGCCAGCCTCCAGTAACTATGATAAGGGAAGCCTCGCTTGCAAGACCCAGCCAAAGAAATTTTGGGTGAAGGGCCTCCAGTTGAGGCCCTGCTGCTGCCGTTCACCCTGCTTCGAGTTGGGAGCTTCCCAGAGCCACCCGCTCGGCACCTCAGCCGCCTGACAGGCTCCTCGTGAGGTTGTGAGCGTTGCACAAGCGGCAGACACTCAAGGCAGACACCACTTAAGTGGACAGGGAGTGACTAAGGCCTCTCAGTGCCCCAGGCTTGAGTGCAAGTCCAAGGCTTGTACAAGAGCTGTTTCATAAGGGCTGTCTCATAAACCTGCTGCATGTTGTACCAAGCATTTGTAAGACACTTTTTACAGCTTAGAAAATGCCTTAATTATCACCATGCATCATCTTTTGATGTAGTTTAGTAATCAGTGAGTGGCACATCCTGATCACAAGGTATGGGCAAGGAAAATGCCATTCCTACTGCTGTGAGTTCACAGAGGCTCTGGCCTTCCGGGCGCTCTGGGAGAGGTGCTGGTTTCAGGCACTATCCTATAGGCTGGTTTTAGACAAATCCTATGGGCAGCACTCGGGAGCACGTGGAAAGCCTCCTGCTTATTTCTATTATTCCTGGAAAGAGAGAGGCAGCAACTTCTGAAGCCCACAGGTCAGCTTTCAGTACAGCAAACAACAAATAGTGTTCCCAGCATGAAGAATATAGAAAACTCCACAAAATACAGCTTTGTAGGGCTGTACATCAACACAGAAAACAGTCCTGTTAAAGACTTATTAAAAATAATAACAAAAAGCAATCACATGCAACTGCTAAAGGCTGGATGTTTGGTTATCCTCCAAGCTTCAGCATAATGGTGATTAATGTAAGAACCCACCCAAAGGCTTTGGAAACGGGAATGTGGCTTGGGGGCTTTCATCTTTCTATCCAAGAGGAATAAGAAATAAGCAGGAGTCTTTGGCTTTTCGCGTCAAGTGCTGCCTATAGGATTTGCACATGGGAAAGGGTGGAACAGGMACAAGACAAGCAGGTGCCCAGCAGGCATCTCCGAAGTAACATCTGTGTTTGAAGCGACAGACAAGRGTTAACCCAGAAGCTGCGTAAAGGAACAGCAGGCACTGTCTCGATTGCCCGTGTGCTACGCTAAGGGCACGGGTGTTGCAGGAATTGCGGCGGTTAAAGAAGTCTGTTTGTGCCAGGGCTCCCTCAGCTGTGGCTCATTGCAGTGGAATGTTGTTCAGACTGAGGACTGCCGCCCGGAGCGTCCCGGGACAGAGCCCCACGGCGGAGCCGCCGCGCGGGACGGGGGCTCAGAGGCCTCCGGGGGGCTCCTGCCCAACGCTCACAGTGCCCACGGCTGCCTGAACGTGCAGTTTTGTATTTCATATATATGTATATATATATATATATAAAAAGCGGTTATACACCTTCAGACTGGATATATCTGGATAAATCTTCAGGCTCCCCTCAGCTTTTTGGGGCCCTCTTGTCCCTTCCCCACCTCTTGTAGACACTCTCACACAAAAGCCAGCGTGCTGTGGGAAGCTGCTAGTTAACGTTAGTCCCTCCATTACTGTGTCACTGTGGGGATTTGGGTTACACAACACGCCAACCACGCTCCGCAGGAGAACAGCTACAAGGTGGGCAAGCGAGGTGTTTTTGGGGCGCCAAGAGGAGCTCGGCGAGGGGGAGCGGGGGGCGCACTCACCCGCCGCCTGCGCCGCCTGCTCCGCTTGCTGCGTGGCTTCCTCGGCGAACTTCTTCCCGAGGCCAAACATGGTGCCGCCGCCTTCGCTCCGGGCCGGCGACGGGCGAGCGGGTCCCACGCTCGGCTCTGCTACGATGTTCCCCAAAGCGCAGCTTCTTATAGGCAGAGCCCAACTCCTCCCAGGAGATGCAGGGCAAACGTGAGCGGGAACAGGGAAAAGCCAGGAGCCCTTGGTGGGTGATTAATACACGATGCATAAAAGGGTGAGGAGATCGTAGCAGTTATTATGTTTTCCTCCCCAGAGAGAGGGCGTGTTTGTGATTGGCACAGGCTTTCCACGGCTGCTGGAACCAAAGCTTTGTTTATCCCATGCTGAAAAGCTGGAAAGCAGCTGACATTCCTGGGCTGCCTCACGAGGCCTCGCGCGGGAGCGGGTCCAGCGGCGCGGCCCATCCTGACCCGCCGCCGGCCTCCCAGCCCGGACACGCAGCTGCAGCGCTGCCGCAACCCGCTGCGGCCCCTCCAAACCTTACATAGAAAGGCATCCCGGCTCAGAGGGCTCTTGCCCAAACTGCTGTTTTGTTCCAGGCAGATTTGAAGTTTGTAGTTAAAAACAGAACTGGGAGGAGCTGATCAAGCAGCCGCTGGCGAGTTGGCTGCGCGAGGAGGGCAGCTCGGCCGAGCCCGGCACACGCGCCGGCCGCACGTGCGGGATGGGCGACGGTGCAGCCCTCGCCCTCCGCGCGAGGCTCCCCATGCTGGCTGCGCCCTGGGCAGAGGCTCTCGGCCACGCGGGGGCTCCATGTGTGTCGGGACCGGCTCCCCACCCGGATTAGCCGGTAACCGGGTACCCAGCTCGGCGCTGCTCCAGTCCCGGGCGCCCCGCGCTCCTTTAGACCTCACGTGCATCACCGTGGGCTCTGCCAGTCAGAGAGAGATGCATGGGCCGCCTCCGGGCACAGGACGTAGACGCACGTTCATCTCCTGCCTTCAGTGAGCACTGGAGCAGGCTCAAGGCAAAGCGTTCCTTATTCCAGTCCCTGCACGCTGGGGATGGCAGCAGCTTCCCCTCTCGGCACTCCAGCCGCAAGTCGCCCTTCTCCCAACCTTTGTGTTCCCAACTGGCCCCAAAGCCCTTCTCCACCTCACYCCCACGCAATGCAGGGCCGGGGGGCAGCAAGGGCCGTTTTACACTACTTGTCTCCTGACAAAAGGGGAGCGATTGCTCACTGTTTTTTAAAGACAAACTATTCCATATACAGGTAAGAGAAAAGAGGTAGGGATTGTGGTTTTCAGCTGAAGCCCTACTCAGCATCAAGTCCTGAGCAGCTGGCAGTGTTTGAAGGAGGCCAGGGCGCAGCAGGAACACGCCGAGTTCCTTCACGTGCCACAGAACAACCCGTGCCCCCCACAAGGGCAGCGGCAGGGGCCGACCCGCAGTGCCCGCAGCGCCATTCCCAGCCACGCGCACCGGGATGTTCCCGGGAAGCGGCCGCTTCCGCATCCTGTGACTCCGAGACACGGGGCACGCGCGGGMCCTGCCTGCGGGGCCCTCGGCTCCCACACCAGCGTGGCGACACCCGCTCTGCCTGGGGGGAAAGGGGAGAAACGTAAAGCCCGGTCACACACACTGGCAACGCGCTCCAAACGCGCCCCGGGATGTAYGGCCGGCACCAACACTGCTAGGGCAATACCCACATACGGAGAAGGCATTTGCCTCACACAAGCCACACATTAAAATACACTRCACCTTTCAAGCCTAAGATACACCTAGTTCCAAATGCAATATAGGCAACAAACACAAAAAAAACTACTGAAAATACTCAGAGGTTTGCAGACACCAGGGTTTTAACCACACACATGTAACTCAGTCCTGGCCCTAGCTCCAACCCCAAGGAAATACACACACAAAAAAAAACAAGAGAATCACTCCTTTCCTACCTGCTGCCACAGCTGACCAGGACATCRAGGGTGTTGGTGAAAACCAGACAGTGCAGAAACCCTGGAGGTTCCTCTCCTGAGCTGCTTTGTGGCYACCAGCCCAGCCCAGGAGCAGGTGGCCCCTGCACCAGCTGCCTCCACTTCAGCCCGGCCTTGTTACTGCCCACGGGCCACAGCTGCTGCCCCAGGCACCCACAAGAGAGCAGGCACCTTGGGGACATGGAGTGGGCAGGTCTGGGTGCAGCTCTTGCTGCCCCCAGTGCTGGGGGAGCAGGGGAAGGGGCAGTCAGCATGTCCAAACACACGTCCCCTGCCACTGCTCCTGGCCATGGAGCAGTGTGGTGTCCTGCAGGTCACCATGCAGCAGCAAACGTGTCTTTTAGACCCTGTCCTGCTTTCTCAGGAAGCTCCYTCTGGATTCTTAAACACGAGGGTTAGAAAATGTCAATGGAAAAGCTGCAATTGCTTGGAGCAGGTCACAGAGTTGCAATGGAAAGGAAAAGGAAACTCAAGAGTGGTTAAGGAGGAAGCAGTAGCTGCTCTCCAGAGTAGATGGTTGGGGTGAGATCTGCAGCAGGGAGCTGCTCACCCACAAGCAGGAGGGAAGCAGGGAGGCAAGAGGGCTGCGTGTGTGTGTGTGTGCATGCACGTGCATGTATGCACGTTCCCAGGCATGCCACGGCCTGTGCCGCCCTCACGGGGCTCTTCAAGACGCACAAAATGAGCAGGAACAGCTCCTGCCGGGAGGCCTGTCCTGACCCAAGGCGTGAGGAGGTGGCGGTGCTCGCTACAGGAGCCCTGGGGTGCCCGCCGTGCAGGCTGCACTCGCTATAGGAGCTCCGGGGTGCCCACCGTGCAGGCTGCACTCGCTATAGGAGCTCTGGGGTGCAGGCTGCACTCGCTATAGGAGCCCCGGGGTGCCCACCGTGCAGGCTGCACTCGCTATAGGAGCTCCGGGGTGCCCACCGTGCAGGCTGCACTCACTACAGGAGCCCCGGGGTGCCCCTGTGCAGGCTGCACTCGCTATAGGAGCTCTGGGGTGCAGGCTGCACTCACTACAGGAGCCCCGGGGTGCCCGCCGTGCAGGCTGCACTCACAGACCCTGCTTCCCGCTGCGGCTGAACGGCAACGCTACGAGCAGGCAGAGCTGTGACCGCCATGAGGGACTGCAGAGGTGGCTAAAAAACAGCGAAAGGTCGAGGCTGTTTTTGTTGCAGAGAAGGCTCCACAGGTTGTGTAATGCTGGGTCTAACAGTAAAGAATTTGGAAAAAAATCCTACAAGTAGCAGGATCAGTTGTGAAGTTTTACCACTGAAAACCATAGGCTCTGCTTAGCTCTAGTGTTGCTGTTAACAGCAAACATGGGGCGCAGTGTTTGGAAACACTGCAGGCTGCTGTGGGAGACGAGGAACGGCTGGAGCCCCGTGGGGAGCCCGTGCCTGTACCCAGGGGGTGGCAGAGGCAGCACCCACGGCACCCACAGCACCCACAGCGCCCAGCCGAGCCGCGCGGGGAGGGCACTGCTGCCTTACCAGCGGAAAAACACATCTGCTAATTCTTCTGCAATATGAACCGAGAAATGCTTTGCAAATAAATAAATGCAATAATAAAAAGAACATGTTGCAAAGCCTGGTGTATAAACGCCCAGCATCCACAGGACGGGAGCAACAAATGTGACAGACACTGGAGTCCGAAATTCCCAGCCGCAGGGATTCGACCGCTGGGGTTTAACCATCTGGGAAGTAACCATGGAAAGTACTAAATAATTAAGTACTATTGAGTGCTGCCCAGTAACTGAGAGTGCAATAGTGTAGTGCTTTTTCTTTGAGCTTGCACTTGGGTAAATATTTAGGCTTTTAAAGCTTTAAATGAGAGTGGACATTGCATCGGGACACTCCGTGCAAAGCCCTGTACTATGTTTACTCACAGATGATGTGTTACAGATAGGTTCCTCTAAAGGTTTTTAGTCCGTGTGGCCCTTGTGGAGATTGCAGACGGCAGCGCTCTCCAGGGTCAGCGGGGAGCCAGTCTGTCCTAGGATTGCATTAACACGGATTAGTACATGCAACTCCCAAAAAAACCAAGTCCACCTCTCTTGGCCAATAGGTGCAAAACAGMAACACCTAAAGTTGGCCTGGATTGCCCCACTTGTGGATGGTTACATCCACAGACTTAGGGCTCTTTTTTGATTTTCCTTTTGCAAGACCCAAATTAACTTTTTACTGAGAGCCGTCTGGACGCGCTTTGAACCAGAAAATGAAGTGGCACCATTGCCTAGCAATGAGGACTTTCCAAAGGCAGAGCTGAGCACTTACTGCGTCAGTGGGTGTTAGTGCCTGTTGTTGACAAAGCAGACCCAAACGGGCTGCCCTGTTTCTCTGCAGCCAGGCTCTGAGTGCCAGCAAGCAGCAATCTAAAATAAATATTTCCATCTCCCCGGCAAGAAGRTTGTCCCCTTTCTGCTCCAGCACGGACACTGCCCCGAGTGCCCTGCAAGCGCCCAGCTCCTGCCGGTGTGTCCTGGGCTGCCCAGGCTGCCCAGGCTGCAGACGAGCTGTGTGGCTCTTGCTCGCAGCCYGGGTAAGCAGCCACAGTCACTGACCTCGTCACACTTGGAATCAAAAAGCAGAGACTTGTGACACATTGAGATGTCCTTTACTGAAAGCTGGGTGTAATAACAAGAGTCYCTAACAAAGAAATATATATCCAGTGCAGGGGAGGGAAGAAATATTGCTATATTTTTTTATTTAACATAGAAAAACAGGATGGAACAAATGAACAAGTGACATGAAATATAGCACTAACCAATTTTGGTTATGGAAAGAAAGCTTGGTTTCAGAATATGAATGTCCTACTATGCTGGAACATTAGTAGTTTCAGTATTTCTGTAAGCTCATACTCAACGAATGTGGCAATAATCCCTGTGCTGTTGAAAGAGCAGGGCAATAACATTGCTTAGGACTTGTGATCCATTTCGAAGAGAACATGACAAACAGATGAAACAAGATGTGCTAAAATATGTATTCTCCTGCAGGAAGAATAAGGAGGGCATTCTGCATTAAAATATTCTGTTTGGAGAAAGTTATCCATATCTCAAACAGCTTTCATTTTTCTACACAAAGGCATAGGGAACTGCAAAACAAAAGGTGCATTTTACATACAGTACTGTTTGCTTAAAGTATCATTTCTTAAATCCACATTTTTTCCCCAAGCCAGATATTGCTTCTGCAGCTTGTCCAGTTGCTTTTTCTACACCATCTTGAGCTGCCTTGCAAGCCTGATCAATAGCTGAAAGAGAAGGAGAAATTCACCARGTGAGCCAAAAACTTGAAAAATGCAGCATGGTTTAGTATTTAGGATGGGCAGGGGAGTTGTGAAAGTGTTTAGACTCTCCCTATCAAAATCTAGAGCTGTGGTTTAAAGGAGGTTGCCCGCAGCTGGTTGCTCTTGGATAGGAGCGGGTCCTGGGAAATAGTGGGCAAAGTGTCGGGGCGTCACTGGATGAACGGCAGGACGAGGCCGATGGAGCCGCCGGTGCCGGGCAGGCGCAGGCGGGAGGAGGATGGAGGAAGGTGCCGGAGGCTCCCGGCGCCCTGAGCTCCGGCAGGGCTGTGCCGGGCGCTGCCCCACGCGCGCCAAGGGGCAGGCCGGCCCCCCGGCGCCGCTCGCCCCTGCTCTCCGCTTGCGCATCTGAGACACTGGCACATTTTAGACCCTTCATTCTTAGAAAATGATTAGAATCGAACGAGAACTGAGCTGAGTCCTTAACGCAACGTGCCGGTTCGCTGTCATCAGAAACGAAATGCCAAAGCTCTCCTCACAGCCCTTTACACCTTCCGGCATCGTTAATTTTTGACCGCGGCTGCTGCCTCAGCAGGCGYGCAGGAAGGACCCGGGGTTAAAACCGGTGGACTCCTGCCCTYGGAGCTGGAGAAATCAAGACGTAGCACGTGTTTACTCGGTCTTCAAGAAAGAAGAGCAAAGTTTGGCCTGCRCTGTTCCAGGAGCTGGTCCATTCGGGAAGGCGAGACCGGAGCGTGGCGCTGAGCGCACCGCGTGGGACGCGGCGGGAGGGCGGCGAGTGCAGCACTAACGGCACGGAGCAACTGAGAGCACAGCCTCACCGCCCCTTGTTTGTGCAAGGCCAAAGACTGTCACTAAAACCAGTGGACATTCAGCGCAAGAACACGCAAGGCAGAAGGCGGAAAGGCCTGTGACTGTTCGTGTCTGCACTCAGTTGCTCAATCTCTGGCTGATTTGAGTGTAATTTCCCATACCTTTCTGACTTGCATCCGTAACCTGGTTGACTGCGTCCTGAGCAGCCTGTCCAAAAGTGTTTGCTGTAATTAAAGACAAAAAATCCATTTTCATCAGTTCACATTTATCCTCTCCTTCCCTCTGTTTCGTTAAGTGCTATAAACTCATATGAATTCCCCACACCATCAGGCCTCCCCGCGTGCTTGTGTGTTCAGAGAAAGACAAGCTAAACCATAATGGATCAGCTCCAGAATATGAAGTACTGCAGAGAGTGAGGTGACACTTAAAATGTGAGATGTCTCATATTTATGAAGATGGTCATTCCATTGCTTTTGCTAGATAAAGAGCTCTGCAGTGACCTCTCAATGGCATAAACACATTCAGCATGGAACAAGAAGTATTTTGGTTTACAAAAGAAAATGCTGTCATGTTCTGGGTCTACCACATACTTGGTTCTAGATGTGCAGGTAATTGTAGGAATCCCAGGGGACTCGGTGAGGTTACTCACAACCTTCAGAGACASAGCAAAGAACTGTTGTTTGGGGAGCTGTCAGGGCTGAGCCACGTTCAGTGAGCCGTCGGTGAAGGCGGCTGCTGAGCCAAGGTCTGTGGCAAGACGGAGCCTTGGTCCTAGCTGGGCTCTTCTGCAGGCAGAGGGTCCGGTCTGGACCCACGGCTCCGGGATGGGTGGAAGAGCAGGAGCTGCTCCTGGCAGCACCGAGGGGACCCGGGGGGGCAGCGGGAGGGCCTGCAGGAGGCACCGGGTGGACGGGAGACCACAGGGTTTGCCCACAAACATCCAGGAYTTGTATTTGGCAGCCGCTGCTAACTGGAAATAAACACTCTGCTGAAGTTAGGGCAACTTGGGATTTTGGTCTGTGCAGCAAAAGCATCAACTAACCCCCCCATAAACACATCCAAGGCTATTTAATCTTTCTTACCAGCATCCTTGGCTGCACCTTCTGCCTGTTGCTTCAGTCCCTGGAAGCTCCTACTGGACATAGTAGCTTTTGGCACCTTTTAATGCCCCTCTGCTTCAGACAAAACGAATCCCCTGGCAATGCAGAGCAGAGTGTGTGAGGGGTGCCCAGACCTGTCCCGCTATTTATACAGATGCCAAGAGACCTGCAGATKCTCCGGGGGCAACTGGTGCCAGGGTGGAGTCCAAGTTTGAGGAACGAGGAGCTGAAAAAATAAACAGAAAAGCGACTTACCCTTCCCAAAGAGAAGGTGTGTCCAGGGAGGGATTTCTGCTTCATCACCTTTGAGATTTGAGCTGTCTTTGCTTATAAGTTTTTTCTTTTAATCAAAACTACAAAAACCTGTTCTACCATAACAGAAATATATAAACAGATAAAACCACTGAACTGAACTTTCTGGAAAACTACTGAAGTAAGTTCTAAACCCAGTATCTGGGCACGCCAAATTTTCATCCTAACCAGGCATTCCCTTTTCCTTTCTTTCATTCTGTAGCATTTACAGTAAAACTAAACCTTCTGGGAACAGGCTAAGCCCAAGCTTTATATAGATTTTAGTAGTTTTAATCACAATGCCTTTTTTTTTTTTTTTTTAATTTTGGTCAGAGAAAAGATTTTTAGATTATGAGAGTTGTAATTAAAATGTATTTTTATAAGAGACAGCAAATCTGACTACTTTCCAGTCGCATGCCCGGGCCAGCCTGCAGGGCAGGCTTAAGGCAGGTCTGCTGGGGTGAGCCAGGAACTGGTTTCACTGCCCCGAGCTCTGGGGGCCGTGGGGGTGAGAGCAAGAAAGGGGGCCAGGGCGGCATCAACAGTGTCTCCTGGTGTAACCGTCCACTCTGCAGGCTTTGCTAGTGWGGAAATAGTGTTTAAAAATCATTTCCTCATTGAATGTCGCTGCATAAATAAAAATTTCTTAACCTCTGTCATTTCGCGGGTTTCTGCTGGCCTTTAAAATTGATGTTTTCAGGCGCTGCTCCTGAATCCAAGGGAGCTTTACAGAAACAGCTCCCGTGGCCGGCCGGGCAGGGGCCAGAGGCTCGGCCGCCTTTGCGGGACACGCATTCCTCATCACCGTTCCCCTGCTTACCGAGCATCTTGTTCCAGATGTCCACACTTGTTCCCACATTCATCACCCCGAGGAAAGCTTCTTGTTGAGAAATGGGCACGGGAACAAGGTACCACAGATAAACCAGGGTGGGAAGTGGCAGCTCTCAAAGCCAAGTGCTTCATTAGCACCCTGAGCGAGTAGGAGTAGCAGAAAACAGGCTTTGGGAGCGGGCAGCTTCCTGCCCAGCTCCTGTGCTCTCTTTTCAGAGGCTCTTTGGAGCTTTTGCACTCCTGGCAGCCCTCATTTGTCATTTCACTTCGCAGCCCTCATTGTGCCTAGCCAGCTCGATTAGTGTTTCAATTCTATATTCACATCAGGCATCTTTTTCAGTTCCTTGCTTTGCTTTCTCCGAATCATTTTCTTATTTGGATTTTCAAGAACTCAGATAAAAGTTACCTGCCTGTTGCGTCGACACTAGTGCCTGTCCTTACGAGCAGCACATTATTTCTGCTGGAGCAAAAACCCCACATGGTCCCTTAGGCTCTCAGAGGGTCCCCTGAGCCATGACCCTATCTAGAGCTAGTTGGCAACTGTCAACACGCAGTCTAAATGGCTTTTAGCTCTTTCTGCTCTGTTTCCTTTTCCATCTCTGCTCAGCCTCTCTTACATCAGTAACACGAGCCCTTCTGTTTGTATTACCCGATGGAGCCGAGAGATAATCCATGAGAATGAAGGTTCATGTTTTACACATGGGGTTAATTGGCTTGGAAGCGTTAAGATATATTTGGTTTTTGTCTAATCATAATTTTACCAGAGTTGTATTTTAGAGGTGAATGCAGTTTCTATCAGCAACGTAAATGCTAGGATATATCAAGACTGAAAATCATCAGGTAAATCATTTCTGAAATTAAAAAGGTGTAGAAAGTGTTCAAAAGTATCAATTGCTTTTTTTTTAAGCAGTATTTGCTAAAAAAAAAAAAAAAACAAGGAAAGAAAAACCTGACACAAAAATGGAAAGTATGCAAAGCTTACATTAGGAAACAGAACTTTTTGCTGATATAAAGATAGGATAATTATGATAGGTCACGGGTTAGTCATTGAAAAGATCAAACCAAAGCTGGTCTAATTGGGCTGATTTGGCCTTCTGTTCACATTTGGAAATACAGTTTGGAGGAAAAAAAACAGGTTTACCTGTTTCTTAATTTACAGGTATGGTAACATTCTCCAGAAATCATCAGTCCGATGAGTTCTGATCCAACACATGAGATCAAAATAAGGCTCCTATATATGGATTTCTTTTCCTTTACCTTCTGTTTTCTGTCCTTTCAGACAAGACCTAGGTTTCTACCATTTTCTGAAACTCTAATGGTCAGAAATACACCTAAATACTAAGATTTTTATGGCATCTCATGATACCCTGTAGCTCAAGTATCAGGAAAAACAAACTGCACCTGGTCTTTAAATTACAAGGAGTTAGAAAGAGGAGAAACGCTTTACTGCTGGCTTAGGATACATCACTAGGTTATGGTTCTGCTGCATGAAGAACCGTGTTTAAAAAAAGCAGCCTTTAATTTTTGATCAGGTGCTCTCTAAGCCCAGCTTTGGGGTATGCTTTATCTAATGATGAAGGTAGGACTCGCAGGTGAAGTGGGACTTTTAAGAAGTGTGTTATTGCCTCATTTGCATTTAAATTTGTGGAATGTGTGTCGGGGTATTCCTGGGAGACCCTCTATCTTCTCCACTGCACCTTAGCCAAATGTTTCTGAAAAAAAATGAGGCCCTGTRTACTCTGGAGCCCTCAGCTAAAATGTAATTGTAGGGGGAGCTTTCAAAGCCTATKAACTATATCACAGCAAATTACTTAATCAAGCTGAACTGCAGTTTTACACTGTTGGTTAGTTCTGCTGTTTCAAGGGGAAAAAAATGATTTTCAGTGTTTTGTGGGTCACTTGCAAGGCAAAGTTGAGGCAGGAGTGGGCAAGGTCTCTTCCTGCCGCCTTTGCTCGGAGCAAAACCTCCCAGGGAGGAGCTTTTCCTCAGGGAAAGGACTATGCCCTGCTCTGCCTGGCACAAGGGCCATCTTATCACAGTGGGATTAAACTAACAGCTTGGACTGGATAGATAAGTATCACACACGCAGGGTCCACTTAACTCAAAGGGTAAGGTCTGTAAAAGCAACTCTTAGTCATCTAGATCATGACCTGTCAGCAGAATATTTTTTTGTGTTCTCGTGTTTATCTCGAGCTGTTTTTACCTTGGGCAGGAGGGTATCCAGCACGGCTCTTGCAAAAGTCTCTTCTAATCTCTCCTGCTGCAGGATGTTTGCGGATGCATCTTTTCCACGCTCCCATTTTTCAGGGTCATTCACCACTGCAAGTCACTTTTGAATACTCATTAAAATACAGAATTGTGTGCAGTGAACCAAATAGACACATGCAACAACATCTAACCAAATACATATATATATTTATATATATAATATGGGTTTTTTTTTGGCTCTTTTATGTGTATTCCCTGCTCGTACCCCTGAGAGGCTGCTGAGGCTCTGCCCTGCTCCTGCTCTGGCCCAGCTCTCGTGGACCGGGTGCTGGCAGCCTGAGCCGTGTCCTGGGTGCAGTGGGAGCATCATGGTTCTCCTGACCAGTGCTGAGCGTGGTCACGAGGGAGGAGATCACAAGTCCGGATCTCCTTCCTTAAGGCTCGTSATTGCCTTGGGTAAGAGGCATAGAAGCTCCTCTCTGGAACAAGTGTTTCTGACAGAGGAGGTGCTGAGATGCTGAATCTCCCTCCAGGCTCATGCTCAGCAGTGTGACACCTGGGCAAGAGCAGCGACAAGGTATTTTAGGTGTCTGGGTTAAGCAACGGCTGAGCAGTTTTCAGCTGCTCACAATTTTAGCTCCAGTGAAATCCCGTCCTTCCCACAGGAGAAAGGGACTGCAGCACTGTCCCAGGGGTGCACTGCAAGCCTCTCAAAGGTAGCTGTGCAGCTCGCTCTGGAGAACAGCTTACCTGCACTCCAAGTTCAGCAATTACATTTTTTCCCATTTGAAGTGTTTCTGATTCAGGGATGMAGCCTGCTGAGGGGACAGAACGGGCATGCAGGAGCGGCTCACGCCACGCTGCACGTGAGCCCGGCGCACGGCTCGCGGCCCTGCTTTCCACACGTGCTCCAGCAAAGGAGGCTGCTACCCTCCTCCTTCCCCTGCGGCCGGTTTGTGTAGCACCCTAGAGCAAAGCTGCCCAGCAGGGTTTTCTTTCTCTTTTTTCCCTCTGCCAAACACTAAGAATAGGCTCTAACCTCCTGCTGCTGTGCATGAGCGCCAAGATCCTTTTTAGCCTCTTACCTTGTCCTCRGCTTTTGTTATAAAAGTTGTACAGTCCTATAAATGTATTTACGTACATCAATACATACATATCAGATATACCCTCCTTTGAGGGCGCCTGTCATCTCCGCTAGCGCTCTTTTGTTCCCTTTCCTTGTCAAGATCAAACATCCATTCTGGATGGAAAGGCCGGGGCTCTGCAAGGCAAAACTTTGTGTGGATTGTTAATGTGCTAGGTCCTTTCATGCACTGAATCTCTTAACACCTTCAGCAGTCATCATCATGATGCAGTTTAATAAAGATGTAGTTTAATAAAGATTAATAGTCTGAGTTTGAGTGGGCTGAACATCTATAGCTTATATTGGGTTCTCTCACATTCATAGGTCCTCTGCCTGTAGATGAATAAAAAAAATACAATATTTTAGATCTCTACATATTGGTGAGTTTTATTCTCACTTGTCATTATTGACAATACTGTCAATTCACAATAATTTCAGCATAACTCAACTCACGAATACAGAAGGTCTCTACTTTTCTCATTCATCAGCTTATCTGCTAACTAGCTATTGTAACCTATATGAGCCCATATAGCCTCATTACACCAATAATTCTTCYGAGCTTGATTAGGACCCTCCCTTGACATGTGTCATAGGAGTCGCTTGTTTCACAGTAATGCAGCCTGTGTGGGCCAGCAGTGACACAGCTGGGCTCTGGTAGTTCGTGCTCAGAGCTCTTTCATTCCATTCTGCCATTCTTTATACCCAGGATATCAGGACAGAGTTTTCAAGCTCTGGTGTAAAGCAGAATAAATAGCAAAGAAGATGAACACTGTGTCAGCTCAATGCAATGTTTGCATTCCTCTGTAGACACTCCTCATTTCCAGTTTCCCCCACGCACAATCTCCTGAATGTGGGGGTATATTTGAAAAGTGATACACCCATTTTCCATCCTTAACGGACAGAAATTTGGCCTCCCTACCCTATTTCTGTCTTCAGAAATAGCTTTTCATTTCCCACGCTCTCCAAGATGATCTGTGGCTTTTACAGTCCTGAGCACTGAGGAGTTTAGATGCAGGCAGGTTGTAGCAGTCCCTCTGCAGAAAAAAAAGCTATCCCAAGCAAACTTAGACTCAAAATTATCCCAAGCAAACTCAAAGTTAATGGATTAAAAAAGGAGACACAGCCCCAAATTATCATTAGACCTTTAAACAGTCCTTAGATTAGTAAAAAAAAATTTAAAAACAGTGTTATTTGTTTAAGTGTGTAGATTTGGTAATGTTGAAAAGGGTAACTAAGGTAGCCCTCTGTGCTTTTGCACTCCCTCATATCTAGTACCAGGCTTCTACAGGATGAGTTTATCAGTTTGGAAGAATAAATGTCTAAAATACAGAAATAAAATCAACAAAAATTTGTTCAAACACTTTTTATTAGTTAAAAAAAAATATTTCCATGATACCTAGAGATCCCAAGTGCCCGCGCRGATGGACATGAGACACTTATCCGTGGGTCCCACAACAAACTGGAGCATCACAGCACTCAAAGCCGGTGGGTCAGGAAGCCACAAGGGACGTGGTTAGAGAGACACATACCATAGTAAACCACTGCACTTTACATATTATCAGGAGCCTGACTTACATGTATTGGGTGAATGGTTTATGGGGCGAGTGACAGACTACGGTGCTGAATGCAGTTAGTCTATGGGGAGYGGGGTTCTCCTGTTGTGGTGTCAGCTAGTATTTCCATATACGCTCCTGGAATTGTCTCTCTCGGGCTAGGAGTCCCTAGGTTGACTAATTGCCTTCATTTTCACCCTGTGAAAAGAGGAGGACAAAAAGAAAATAGATGGAAAAAAGTTAAAAAAGGTAGTCACCACATTAAAAACCGTAAGTAGCAGCATAACAGTAAGGACTATACATTGTGCAGAAAACTGATGAATTATCTATTTCCTCCGGGAACCAGACACTTGTCGTCTTTGACTCAGGCCTCTAGTGAAAACGGGGGTGCGATTTCTCCATGGCCTAAGTGGAACCAAGCCTGGTCTAGGCTGCTCTCTGCTGCCGTGGGTCCCTCCCTGCCTGACACACACCTGGAATCGCTCGTGMGGTGCGGTGAGGTCGTCTGGATCAGCCGTGAGGCTTTCTGGACACACCGGCACGCGGGAGGCTGTGGCTGGTGCCAGGGGGGTAAGGGCAACCCGAGGCTTTTTGAAGTTCAAGACGCAGTGAAAACACAGCCTGAGTTGCAAGAAGCTGCAAGCTGAGGAGAGGAGTTGCAGAGCAGGCAGCCAAAGGTCTGCTTGGGAAATGTTTGTCTGCTCAAAGTGTCCAGGTTGGGCAATGAGAATTCTTCCTTCCTCCTCCGAGAGCTGAAGTTGGCTCAGGGACTGACYGACATTTGACTCGGGGTTTTAAAAGGACATTGTGGCTACAATAAAGCAAAATTAAACTGACTCAAATACGGGTGAGCTCTTCCAAAGTATGGTCACRATGTTGGAAAAATATTTCATATGATAAGAGGGAAAATATGAATGCAACTGTTTACACCCCCAAATCAACCCAAACTAAATAGTTTAGAATTAGGCACATCTKTCCCTCATTGCAACCTCTTGGTCCTGAAAAAAGGGAAGTGGCAAAACCCTGAGAAAGTAGGGGCTCCGATTCCATCAGATTATTAACAAATTCTGGCTTTCGGGGGCAGCAGATGTAAAATCCCCATTGTACAGAAAGAGGAGGTAAATCTTTCCCGGGAAAAACCATGAGACAAGAGCAGCAAGTGCCACGCTGGTGCCCGGGGAGCGCGAGGACATGCGGGCCGCGGGGTCACCCTACCTGTCCGGCACCCTCCGCGTCTGGCATCGCCTCTCCCGCCGCCGCCGGCTGCTCCGGCGGAGCCAGCTCCTCCTGCCAAGCACAAGGGAAAGGTTGTCCTTGCGAACACGCACAGTCACAGCCCTAATCTTAGACAGGCTATTTGAGTAAATGATGTAAAGTGGATTCCAACATTATGTATGTTAAAAAAACCCCACCAGATTCAATATACGGTAAATATCGCTTTGATTTTCCTTTTTCTTTTGCAGTTTGTTAGAGCAGACATTTATAAAACTACAATTCATTTCTTATACTCTGTTTTAGGTTACTCTTTTTCATTTTTAATGAAATTTAGTATTAATTTTGTATGGAAGGCAGACATATCATTTGAATTTCAAGGCTTTGGAAGCCTGGAGCTACCGCTTTCCTTAATGCCACTGCTAACACAGTGCAAAGCAACTGTCCAGGTAAAACCTGCTGTAAAAAGAATTCCATGCTCAGTGTGTTGGCAGGCAGGAGGGGAAACTCTACCTAAAATTTGTGGGAAGACTAAGATGGAATTTAACATGTGAGAAATCAAGTGTGCACCTTTTTGACATTAGGAGACTTTGTAAAGCAATAACTAACAGAAAAAAAAAAAAGGAATTCTGTACAGGTTGGTGTTTAAAAGAACAGAAAAGAAGGCAGCATCTTTCCATGTCTTCAGACTCTCTCTCTGATTCCTTAGTAATGCTTCATGCTACAAACAGATGGAGGCCATCTATATATCTACAAATATTCTCCTCTGCTCTTCTAYGCTGAATATGCACTACTGGAAGGGCTAAGTAGGAAAAGCTTTTTAGAACAGAACCTGGATGAAAATCTTCTTAAGTACTCCTAATTTCACATGTGCCTTGCTTTCCTCTCCAATAAAGCTTTTCCTTAATAGAACAGAAAAACTGCTGCTGAATTAGAGAATAAATGACGAACAAACARGAGAAAATAAGCATATTTCACACTCAACTGCATAAATATGAAGTAGATTTTGTGGGAATTTAAGCTCCAAATTGGACTGCAGACTAATTTTTGATAAGAAAGGGAGCTGGGAAATCAATGCTGAGATCAATCCCCCAGGAAAGAAAACTGCCTCAACACTTGCTTTGGTCCAGTTTGGTTTCTGTGGGAGCTTCAGACATGCTCCTTACCTCCCTGCTGGGAGTTAATTACCTTATGCGTACATATAGCTGTGCACTGCTGAAGCCTCTGCATGAAAACCATACCATGATTACTTTTTTTCCTGAAGAAATATGCTCCTAAATTCATGGCTCTGTTGGCTGGGGTGAGTCCTGCTATTATCCGTGTGATCYGTGTTAAGTAAGCCCTGCTAATCTAACAACATCAAATTGTTTGCAGGAGGGAGGAGATCCATTTCTGGTCTCAGGTTCCCCAGGCCAGCAGGGACCCGGGGCAGCTGCAGCAGCTCTGCAGAACCACTCAGCTTTGGCTGTAGCCCTTCCTAAATGAGCAAGTTCTATTGTTGTGGGCAAACAATAACAGGGGTGGGAGAGTCACCTCCGGAGCCCTGTCCTGCGGCTGTCCTCTAGCACATGGGAAAGTACCTGACCTGGAGCATCAGGAGGTCCCTGAGAAACCTSGTGCGTAAAAATGATCAGTGCTGCACTGCACAACTTCACAGCGCATACTAGGTCAAAACAGGCGGAAAAATCTATTTTAAGGCTTTCTGAATAGTTTACAGGCTGTTATGGGGAAAGAAAACAAAATGCAGATTCCTGCAGTGTAAGTCAGTGGCACCAGCCGCACCAGGAGGCACTTSGCAGCTCCTGGCCTGGAGAAGCAGCTGCCAGGGAGGAGAAGCAGAAGCTCCTGTGAACAAGCAGCCCCAGGAAGGGTGATCCCTCCCTTGGGACCCTTCTTGGGGAACCCCCCTGGGTTCCACGGGTGGGTTGAGGAATCGCTGCTCGGCATCACGCTGCTGCTCCCCGCAGCCCTTGAAGCTGCGCCGCAGCGGGACGGCGATGACTCACCCGGGCATTTTYAGAAAGGGCAGGAACCCTGTTTCTTGAGAGCCTTCCTAAACCGCCAGGCAGGAACCAGCACAATGGCAGGATGAAGAGGTGTCAGGTTGTGTTAAGCTTTTCTCAGCCGCCTGCCTCCCTCCCTGCCCGGAACAGCAGGGCCCGAGGAAGGGCCGCGTTCTCCAGCTGGGCGTTCCCCGGGTGGGACACAGCCACGGCCCCGTAAAAACACATAYAGGTTCACCGTGCAAGGTTGGGGTCTTCGTTTTGGCTGAAGCTTCAGAAATTGATGGATAGCAACCCCACCTGTAACAGTAATAAGCAGCATGATGCTGAGCAAGAAGGCAAGGGTAAAGCAGTGGTGTTGATCTAATTAGGAAGGATGAAATTCCTCATGGAAAGCTGTGTGGCAATCATGGGTTATGCTTTAAAAGAATGTGGGTTTTTTGTCCTAAAAAGGCCAGAGGTATCTCTTCCCTTTCTAACAGAGAAAGCTGGAACAGAGATGCTATCAGGAAGGCAACAAACTCAGTGGCAAGCAAGGCAGCCTCTTGCTTCAAGGCAGTGAGACAGCAGCGYGCCGGCACCCTGCTACAAGTGCAGCAGTCCAAAACGGGACASCCACTGCCGAGGGGCAAAGGAAGGAGCGGCTCGGCCGCTCACCTTGCGTGTCGGGACACAAGCAGTGTGCGTTGGAGCACAAGCCGAGTGTGTCGGAGCCAAAGCTCTGCGTTTTGGCAGCGCCCCGGAGCGCTCCGCGGAGCCCGCAGGCACCCGCGGCTGCAGCCCAGCCCGGCWGCAACGCGGAGCAAAGCGCCCACGCCGGCCCCGCCGATGGCTGGGCATGGTCACTTCCCAAGGTGACTCCGGGGGTGTTTCCCTGGTCACCYGCACACGTCCTGCTGCTGGGACGGGGCAGCACGCGCCTGCACGTACCCATGAGAACGGGAAAGCAGCACAGAAAACCGCCTCGGGTGCAAAGCAGCCCAGRGCAGGCTGCTTGTGCAGCCTCCTCTGCCTCACAGGGAGGTGCCACCCCAGCGCATAGGCAAGCCTCAGCACAACGGGGAGGATTGCAGCTACTTATTTGGCTTAATCCTTAGGTGCTTAAGTTGTGGATTTCCCTGTTCGTCCTGCCAGTGCCTCCCTGCGCACAGGGCTCAGCAGTTCTGCTCTCTGAAGCATCTCAGTGCCCTGGTGTGCTGCTCCTCTCCTACTCGCACCCACCAAAACAGAGAGTTCTGGTGTTTCATTAATGTCTGCCTTTAATTCCTTAATGGAATCACACAGTTTAAGTGATCAGAATTAAGACCATGTGCGTGAACAGTTTATATGAAAATACACAGTTGTTATGCTAAAGTACAGGCRCAGTACACACAGAGCAATGATGAGGTCTAACAGAATGCATGCGGCAGCTGCACACAACTGAGAACTGCTGAAATAATTAATGGGATGAAATAAAAGAAAAAGATCAAAACTAATTTCAAATGACAGAACTGTGACTGACAACTAAACCATATAAAAACTGACAGGACAAAAGGATCTAAAGAGAAGATCTAGGTGGAGGGTGAGGGAAGAATAATTGTAGGGCAGTATCAGCTGCTGGGAGAATCCCTGAGGGGCATCTGATGCGTGTGTGTGAGTGCATGTGTGCACGCTCCCGCGCTTGCTCCCAACCACGTGGCGCCTGCAATGCAGCAAACTTGGTGCTGTGTCATGCAGATGAAAAATTAATCCTGCTCCAAGACAGGGATCCTTAATGAGTGACCATCCACGGAAATCACTTCATGCCCACGCCAGTGACTGACATGCATGCAGAGCTARCGACCAAACACGTTACTAACAGTGCTCACTCTTTGCATACTGGAAAGCTATAGAGTTTATTATCTTCTAATTTACGTATTTTTACTTCATGCTTAAACACTCAAATAGTCGATCATTTCTTGCACTCAGCAGTGACCAGGCCAGTGACCAGGCTCACCTAAGCAATGACAGCACTAACCAAGGTTGGGCCCAGCCGGTGCCCGGCCCCTCTCCTTTCACACTGCCACTTTTCCTTCTGCCTGGGGCTGAGGACAGCAGGGAGCAGAAGGGGCCTGGCCCGCAGGGTGCCAGCTGCCCTGTGTGTAGCCGTCCTAGAACCCGGCATCCTAAGAGCAGAGTCCAAATCTCCCAGTTGACTCAGGGCTACTTGATGCACCCACGAAGCTCATGGACCCCAGAATGCAGATCTTTGACAAGCCCCCTGTGCACTGCTAGCACGTGTCCTACACTGAAACCAGCTGTTCAACACACAGATCAACACACATGCCAACAAGCTAGCTGTAATTCGCATTAATACTAGGAACAGTGAGCTGAGGTTATGCCTCCTACGCCGCTCTGCTCCCCGCACTGAAGCCCTTCTGCAGCACTGCTCGGTGTTCGCCGCGCGGCTGCACAGGTGCCCCAGCACTTGGAGCAACCCCTCGAGAAAGTCAGGACGGGGGTGACACTAAGAGTAACTGACAACAGAAATAAGACTTACGCAACTGCTCTTTGCGATTAAAAATAAAAGAACCAGAYGGAGCATGAAGGCGGCTCAGGACTGTATGTAACAACTATCTCAAACTTCAGGGGAAGGAACTTAGGTAGGATTAGAAGAGTTTTGTATCATCTACTTATTATTTCTTTTTTTAACATGTTAGTGCTSTCCCTTTTCCCTCCTCTCAATATATCTCCAGCATGCCTTTCTATGCTATGTCCTACAGCTCCAGGCACTGCCATCCGCAGCCTCCGGATGCAAATTGTGCAGCAGGAGAGGAGCAGACCTGGAGAGGAAGGAGCTGGTGCAGGGAAGCAGCACAGCAATCCTCCTGTCAGACCGCCTTAGCAGCAGGAACAAGCTTGGAGCAAATTTTGGAGCTTTGGTGCCGCCTGGAAGGAATCCAGTTCATGCATTTTGAGACCTCTCTCTGCTGGGACCCACAGGATGGCGAGTGACCATGACTGGAAGATTTTCACTCCTCATCAAAACTAAAACACTAGGTCAGAGGGTCCCTCTCTGTCACCCATACAAACATTTTACCTTAACTCCTTTCTTCTGTAGCTTCTTTTGCTTGGCTTTTCTCCTGCTGTTTTCAGTCTGCTCCCCACGTCTGCTTTTTGACATTGCCCCATGAACCTGCAGCTAAAGCAGTTTCCTGGCTCCCCCATCTAGTCTGTCATTTGGCATATGACACATCCCACATTTTTCCTCTTGACCAATCCCCATTTTAGCTTTATGCAGGCTGACACTCCGGGACTCGGCGTGCTTAATGCAGAGTCACTACCAGGCTTGGGTGATGACCACCCCGGATCCTGGTCTGCCAAAAGGTAYGAGAGGGTCGAGTCTGTCCCCACTGAACGAGAAATCCCCATTTGCACTCCTGCAACCTCCCTGTGGCAATAAAGATTAATCTTATCCCAAGGGCTTAGAAGATCTCCTAGGTCTGTCCTTTTCACACGTTTCCACGAGGAAACATTTTGCGTCACTCGTAGCTGCCACTCTCCTCCTTTGTCAGCCTATTCTCCCAGGGTTTACACGGTGCGCACAAGTTTTGTTTCACACCACAATGTGCTTACTGGTAGGTCAGGAAATTCATCAGCCAGCAGTCTGAACAACTAAAACAATTTTGGCCAGCCTCACTTTGCTTTGATCCTGGGCTGGGGTTTGTGACTAATCCAGCTTATGTCACTATCAGCTCTGTTGACTATGGCTCTATGAAGGGCATAAAAATCCTCCCTCCAAAAAAGCCATAAAAATCTCCGATCTAAAGGGGGAAAAAAACAACTTTATCAAATAACTGCCAAATATTTACCACTAGAATAGCGTCATGTACTGTACAAAGGGTTTATATTTGCTATTGCATGGTAAAAATGCCTTGTCCAACAATGAGTTTTGCTTTCGGCCAAGGAGTTGCTCTGCTCCTCTACATGTCCCTTCATCCACTAAGTTGAACCCATTCAATTTGCCACATTGCACTTAAGGACAGAAGATTCCTTGTTTGAATCTGGCCTAYTCGGTGCATAATTTGGGTCACACGGCCTTTATCAAAAGACACTTAGTTGTTGTCAAAATCAGCCCAAATAGAAGAAAAGGATAAAACTACKTGGAGTCTCCTATGGGACCGTGCTCTTCAGAGCCATGCCGGGTTGTCTTAATTAATGCTGCCACCTACTGCTGACAAAACTGATGGTCCTGGTTGGGAGATGCATCTGCATCTATCCAGAGGTTGGAATTARTAGAAGGATGGATGGTAAATACAGAATTTCAAAATAATTCTCAAAGCAGCAATATAAGGGAATATAAYCACAGAGCTTTTTTTTTTTTYYYTTTTTTTTTCTTCCTATCCCAACACATTCAGTAGCTCTGTTTCCTGCCAGATTTTTCACTGCAGTCTTGTTCTGCATCTATAAAAGCCCATGCAAAATTTGCATTTTATACATTGTTTTAAAATACAAAAATATTTTCCACCCTGAAAAATGGCTACAACACAAAAGACAGAGTCCTCCAAATAAAAATGCAAATCTTTAAGATCTTGATRCAAACTTGTCTTGAATATAAAGCCATGCTGTCCTTTACATGTTTACCAACCTGAATTCAGGAACTACTGCTGTGGAGTCCTGCAAAGCAGCTATTCTCAAAATGCAGCTGGAGACAGCATATTGCTCAACAAAATTGCCATGGGATGACGATCTTTAAAAGCACATGATACCTCTGGATGTCCAAATATTTTGGTAGTTTTATTTACTGCCATATCCACATAGCATACATCAAGAGACAGTGTTATTACCTTTAACTGTAGCTGATATTAAGCATTCTATATTAAATGTTCTATGATAGTACCTATTGTTGAAATCCTCTCATTAAGTAGGTAAAACCATTGGCTCTTAACAACATTTCCAGCTATTTTTAAGACATGCAATCCGAACAAGAGTTTTCTGCAGGCTGCTAACGAAGCAAACATACCTTTTTTACAACTCCTGTAGTGGCCACAATGGTCTCTGCTCCTTCTACRGTCTTGTTTGCCACTGTGTTCACGCTGGCTACTACTGCTTCTCCCACAACGTTGGCCTGCTCTTTGGTCTTCTCAGCAACTGGGATTTCAACAAGACAAACTCAGCCTGGTATTGAGAACCGGCTGCCAAATTAACTGGGACAGTAAAATGTTTGCATCAAGCTATGAGAAGATATTGACTCAGATATAGGCCTCTCTTGGATTTTCTATATGGCAGCACATCTGAATTTAGRTTCTCTGTGTGAGGGTTTCATCTCACACAAAATGCTATTCAAGGGAACATGGACATTGCAGCTTGTCATTCTTCATGGGCAACTGGAGACTGCAAAATTCAGTGCAAGATGCTGAGACAATCRCACAAATAAAGCATTTTGCAGCATAGCCTGTGCATGGTCTCTCCCCAAGTACCTTCTATCTAAGTGTATAGATTCATTCAGAAAATAATTTATTATTATTTATTTATAATTATTAATTATCTAGAGAAGAGGTCCATTGATATCTGTTGAAGGCAGGYCAAGGTATTCTTGTCTTGGACCTTGTGGACTCTAGAAGAGTCTTGTAGGGCCCTGACTCTGACTGGCTGAGAGGAGGTTCCTAAAAACCAAGATTTTAGCCCAACAGTAACTGATGAAAGCGCCTCTGCATTCTGGACAGCATTCCTGACTTTGTGAGATAAATCGTTATGAACCAGCAGCACCTGCCAAATGACATTTGTTAGATTTTTTTGACCTGTTCCACTGATTAAATATTTTCTCCCACCCATGTGCACTGCGGATGCCGGACCCTGACCCTTCGCTCCTGGCAAGCATCCTCCATTCATCAGATGGAGCTCACGTGGARCAGGGCTGCCTCCAAGAGACCTCTAGCTCGGCAGGAATGATGGMCTTATCCAGAGGGTCAACACCACAAGCAGTGATTGCCACATCTCTCTGAGGGCTGGGCTCTTACCTGAGGTCACACTATGCACTACCCCTTCCTTGGTTTTGGCACCTGTGAAAGGAAGCACAGAACCCATCAGTGTTAGCTGGCAAGGAGCAGGCAGGTTTCTGGCCCCGGTGGCTTTCTGTCCTCACGGGGGGAGCTGGGAACACGTCGACCGTGCTTTGCCTAGAGATACCCCAGCTTGAAAAATCTTGATGCTAACATGTTTAAGAAAGATGCCCCTTGGATTATTTCTGAAATGAGAACTGGTGAGCAGAAATAAAATGGCCTCATTTAATTGCTAAATGAATGCATATTAAATGGCCAAGTAAAACATCACTTATTTCAGCCTTTCAAAATGTGATTTACTGTAGTGATGCCCTCCTGCCTCCCAGCAGGTCATCTGGCCACCGCACTCAGAACTAGCCCTTTAGGAATAATAACTAATCCCCGCAGTTTTTGTCTAAGCTTGAGATGACTGGTCTCTCTTCAGACTTGCACATGACAGTGCATGTGTTATGATAAACCTTGTGGTGGATGGGAAGTACCTCCATTAAYTAGGCACCCTTTCACATTAGATAAATAAAACACCAAATTTATCTGTCAAACATTAAAAATTGATTCTAAAGGTTTTCCTCTGACAGCTCCATCTTACTGTAATTTGTAAATCATCCATACRTACACAACCTATTTTTAAGTTCTCATACCAATACAAAAAGCAAGCAAGCAAACAACAACCAGACATATTTTTATGACCAGTTTTCAAAACGATAGAAATACAGAATCGGTCAGGTACAGATGCACTGCAGCATCCACGGGTGCAATGGGAGAAGTTAGTCACAAACCACACCTCATGTTCATTAAAAGCCTAAAAAGCAAAACAAGTGCAGCACTCTGATAAYAGCTGATAGGGTGGAACAAAGCTGCCCCCTTACATATACCCTAAACATTTCATTCTGTTATCCTGAACTGTGTGTCCCGAAGAGATGAAATCTTTGTATTTTTTTTTTTTTACAGTTATAAACTAGATTTACTAATGATGCATAGGCCATGTTGTGCACTACTGTAAGCTGCATTTCAAAATGGCATGTGCACRGCAGCAGGTTAGCAAGCAGACCAGAGGTGCACCTCATTCATGCCATGARCACAAGTCCCAGCATTGCCCAAATGCACAGAAACCAGTTCAGATGTGGTCCAGCTTCAATTCCTGCCCTTCCTCCCACAGCACTGATGCGACATGCCAGGCTTTCTCACACCAGACACAGAGGTTCAAGTTCTGCCTTCTTGGCTGCTTCTTGCTCAAAGAGCAATTCKAAGTCACATACATAGTTTATTGTTCTGGATTCACACCTTTTGACTTTGCAGTCAACATCCTAAGTGAGACAAAAGGCATGCTTATAGCATGTATAATTTTTTTACCGTGCTTTTTAGCTAGTATTTCTATCTGGGCTTGACTCCTTTGCAGGGGGGTATTTTAAAAGGCAGAATAATTGCAGAAGGGAGGGAGGGATGCACATACAAGAGAACCATTCCCTGCATACACTTCACGACAGGCACAGAGGCGAGGGCAGCGCCACCGGCACCGGCTGCTGCCGCTCCGTGCGCTTGCCTCCTCTTCCCAAGCATTCCCACCACCACGCCCCATGACTCAGGCTCCCGCATTCCTCAGGCACCACGTGCCGCCTCCGGGCGGACACCCTGGCCAGGCTCCAGCAGCTGTTGCATCCACAAGCCATCGCTCCGCGCTCCATGTCCCCGCTGCTCTCGCTCCTTGCCCGCGGCACGCACAAGCAGCAGCTCGTGCGGCCTCCCCTTCTGCCAAAGGGGTGTCCGGGAGCTGCGGGTTTGAGCTGGGAGAGAGGTGGCACCGGGAACCAGGCACAGGCTCTGGCAGGGAAGTCTCTGATGCGCATTAGCCTCAAGGGAGGCATTGCTGGAGTCACTTCTGCAGTAGAGCTGGGTGCGCTGGGGCAACACGCGTGACGGTAAGGGATTCTGTGAGGAGTCTTAGGGAGCGTTCCATTAACTCCATCATCACTTATCCCCCTCTTTAAACCAAACAGAGGCAGCTGCAGTCTGGAGAGCAGCCTGTGTTTTCAGCAGGGGCACAGTGCTCACGCTGCAGGATTCYTCCCRCTCTCCCGGGATATCCCACCCCACRGACACCTCCGAGGYGGCAGCCCTGCGGCCAGCCCCGCTGAACCGCGCTGCAGCGCTGGCACGGCTGGGCTGGCACCTCRGGCACCGGCCGTGGGAACCCGGGTGCCTGGCTCGGGCGGAGGGAAGAGGGAGGGAGGTGGCAGCAGAGACCTGGCGGCTCCGTCTGCTCCTCACGGAAGCGTCGGAAGGGGCATTTACCTCGTGGAGCTGCAGGAACCCACCAGGTTTGGTGCTCATGCTGGGCCCTCGGGAGCCCTCCGAAAGGCTTGGGTTGGTCAGCAACGAGTTAACGCAGTTGACAGTAAAAGTGAAGGATCCTCCTCACTCTTCTCAGGTTTAGGGTCTGACTGTCACCTTCACCCCTGTCCTTTTCTGACTCCCTGAAGAGACTCTCAAGCTTCAATGCAAATCTTATTTTCTCTTAGCATGCAAAAATGCAGGTAGCTTCACCTAACATCCAGCTCAACCTTCCAGGACAGCGTTGTCCAAACGAAGCGGCATTGAAAATTCTTTAATTAACACCTTGTATGACATAGAGTGAGGAGCAGTGATTCAGACAAACATACTAATCATTCCAACTTTAATGAATAAACCTCATTTCCACCTTCTCTGCTTGTTTAAAATCAGTTTTGTGAGGTCATCAGCATCTGGCCCTCGCTTTCCCTTCTATGAGAGGCTGAACGTTCCCAAAAGGGCTGAGCATCCTCCCCCAGGGCTCAGGAGAACCATAGCATCATGCAGCATCAGCCTTGCCTTTAATCTGATCCCTGTTCGGTAATTTAGGTTTGACAAAGGCTTTGAAGAAAGTTTACTGAAAAAGGCAGAACATGAGCAGACTCTGCTGCACCTCACAGAACAAAAAACAGGTCACAGGCTGAAGACGCAAAACGCTACCAAAAAGTGCTAGAAAAATCACTTATAAATATTCTGAATGATCCTCTCCCACATTGCTTAAATGAGGAAGCAGCTGGGGCAGCAGCAGTGCCACCATCCGACACCAACATGTGACGTTTCGCAGGCTGGTGTTTCAGATATTGCTGCTGGCTGAAAGATTTCCAGGGAGGCTGCTTACGTTTGCGCTTGTGACTCAGCTCTAAATTGAAATGGGAGCTCTTATATACCAGAAAGAGTACGTTCAGTTACAGCACGCCAACAAAATTTTGGGATGAATACATAATCAGATCTGCTAAACATAATATTTATATTCATTTATAATTCAAAAAACATGCCAGTGTTCACCCATATGGATGTGAATGAATATCATAACACGATGGCAAGAAGCATTTGTCTGGAAACTTTCTAACTGAAAAAGAAAAAGCAAAATCTATCCCAAATTTAGTAGACATAAAAATTTGTAAAAGATGCAGTAATCAATATCCAGCTAATCATTTTGGAAATCTAAGACTAATATCTAGAGTCTACAGTATCTAGATAATCCGACTGCCCAGCCACATAGTTGCATACACTAGAYAGGGAAGATACCAGGTTTCAAGAGCAACCCTGAAACAGGGTGTTTCTGAAAAAAAAATGTTAATTGGGAGAGATTTCTAGACAGGACATAACACATGTTGTTATCCAGAACCTATCCTTTGCACAAAATGAATTCAGATGTCTCTTGTAAAGCAAGATTAAGAGGTGCAGGGGAACAAAACAGGTCAGTGAACAGGAGGAGGAGGTTAGGACAAAATGGTATTTTGTGGAAAAGAGCAACGTCCCGCAATCCCCACCGAGCAACACCGTTCCACACTGTCTGGGCTCTCACTCACTGTGCTTCTGACAGTGCTGAGGTGAAAAGCAGATCAGCAGTGCTCAGAGMGCCACGTCTGAAAGCAAGCAGTGAATAATCATAAAAGAAACGGTCCACCACAGCATCTGCTTGTTAATAGTACATTATTTCTGCCTCCCACCAAGTACTGCCGGTTGCGACTTCTAATTTACAGTGGAGGAAACTATGTAAACCTGTACACAGTAAATCTGCAAGAGAGCTAAGGACATGACCTAGACCCTAATTTGGGCTGACATTCTCCAAGAAAATCGACGTGGCAGCTCATGCTCAAATATTAATTTAAACAGTTATCTCTTACCTACATACATCACACCCTCCTTGGTCTTCTCCGCAGCCTCCGTCACTCCCTGCTTGGTCTTCTCCGCAGCAGCCACAACACCCTCCTTAGCGATGGAGAAACCTTTCTTAAAGACATCCATCCTTTCTGCTTGCTCGAGTATCACCTGCAGGAGCTGCGGGAGGGACAGCAGTAAAAAACACCTCAAGACAGTGACTGCAATATGCAGTCTTACCCTCAGAGGAGATTCAGATTCTCTGCCAGTCTCTGTTTGCTCCTGCTCCTCTGCTGGATGAAGACAGTGTGGCAAACCTCGCAGGCTTTGCCAGCTCTTATTGATCAAGGGCTCTGCAGCGTAGCCAATGCCTGTGAAAAGCTGATACTGAAATATTAATGATATGGGTCTGCTCGGCAAGATTTAGGAAGGGAGGGGGGAGACGAGAAGGACATTGGTAGGTAAGGGACTTTCTGGAAAATTTCCAGGTGGATAAGGCATTATAAATATACTGTAATGCTCCCACTCAAGGACACTCTCGGTTCCTTTCATGGGAGAGGGAGATGTTTATCTGAAGAGGCGAGTTCCTGAAAGCTCCTCTCCCTGAGGCTGCAGCRAGCGGAAAACACACACTCTGGTGGGTTCCTGGCAGCTGGAAAGCATGTAAAGCAGGTAGCATTTGTAACAAACCAAACAGCAACACATTTCTTGGTCTAGCATTTACCAGAACTCATCCCGCACAAAACAGTGGTGAGAACATTATTTGTAGCGAACTCTGACAGAAAGTGGGGGACAAAAGCCATGAGCTGATGCACGGTGCCCAGGTGCGGGAGCTGAAAGCCCCACGAGCTGCTGGTGAAGTTCGAAGGTGGCTCCTCAGGTTATTTAGCATGAATTATGGTTTCTGCTTGGCTTYGCATCCCTTTATGATGGTTCATTTCTGAAAAAGCAGATGCCTGGCGGGGAAATCCTGTTTCCTATTTGCTTCTCCGGGCTGCGGTGCCCAGAGCGCAGGGAAGCTGCTGCAGAATGATGCAACATTTTACACAGGCACCATCACTTATGTCAGAAGTCTGTGTCTTGGTACAGAATGGGTCGAGCCAAGCACTGATCTGACAAGTGATTGTGAAAATCCTTCAGTTTGCAAAGGAAAAAACATCCAGACTCAAGGGCTCACTAGGAAAAAGAAAAAAAAAAGAATAATATTGAAACATATATACATTACAGTTGGAAATCCCAATATGCCTTAAGTTAAACACTAGATGATCTTCTGAATAGCTCCCGAGTGACCTACATTAAATATTGTCTCACTAGCAAACTGCAACTCAAAGCAAGCAAGCCAGAAAGCAATTGCTGGTGCCTTCTCCTTAGAACTGGATGCTAAACGTTTTGTCCTGTAACAGCAGAGCAACGGAGCATTAAACTGAGAGCTCTAACTGCACGATGCAGGGGTCGAACACGACGCTGCCATGAAGTGTGATGGTCCATAGGACAGTGCTGCTGTGAGCTAACCCTGCTGGAAGATTCAGATGGCTGAAAGGCTGCTGATCTGGAAAATACATAGATTTCTTGATCCTTTTCTCACAAATGGCTTTCCTTGATCATAAACGGAGGTCCAATTTCCACTTGAAGGTAGAGGACTCAAACTCATRAAAACCAGAAAAATCATTGTTGGTTAAAAAAAACTACAGCAAGATTCAGAAGGCAGCCCTTAGAACATGCTAACAGGATACTAATTTCAGTTTAGATCATTTCYATACAGAAATGAGGTGTAATTGTTGTAGACTCTGATGTTACAATRGGAGAGAAAAAAAAAAGTTTCTTCTATTATCTTTCAAAATTTCCTTTAGGGAGCTGATTGAGTGCTACCCCAAGAGCTCAGCTGCTGCCCATATCTGCTCCCAGAGTGCACTTAAAACCGGATATATACATATTGTGTTTTACTGTGCAACTGCCTACCAGAGCTGCTCTTGGGGTCAGCGGTGACGCTACCATTGCTCTCAGTGGAACAGGGTGGGTGTCATGTTTTAAAGGTCTGGTACCAAGTGAACGTTTGGGAGCTGCGACAGGGCCCATTTACTCTTTCACCAGGCTTTCAGAAAGCATTAAAGTGCCGAGCTCCGCAGGGTTGCGGGTGCTACCAGCATCTTCATGAGAACTGCAAAAAAGGATATTTGGCTTTGTTAAACTACTGCTCTGTCATTGTGGTTGGTACAGGTGAATTCTACATACGCTGCATTGTTCCTGAAGTTATCAAATACATGAAATACCAAGCGATTCAGGAATATAAAACAGGAATTATCACGAGTTTCAATTAATYGGTGCTAGAACGGGAAACTCCTTTCCTGCACTGGCCTCTGCTGCTGACCTTCAGAAAGGAGCCCACAAGAGGCATCTCAGCATTGCTGGATCGCTCCCAAGACAGCGCACAGTTCACACAGGCATTGTTTCAGTTTCAGGAAAGCTCTGCGCTCAAGACAACATTGCGTGTCATCTATATGGAGCAAGCATCAGTAAAGGCTCCTAAACACTTGCTAGTCTGAGGCAAGCACGCTACCCTGTTTTCTATTCCAAGCAGAAAATTCAGTCCTAATTTTTTGCCAATTCTGCCCCAGGCAAACCTAACAAATGCAGTTAAAATAAGCAACCTTATTAACCTTATTTGAGCAACCTTAAAAGCTTTAATGTTTTACTGGGTTATCAGCTTTGTGTCTGAAAAATAATATTTCAACAATAGAAAAGCTTTAGATAAAATTTAGAATAAAAGAGGTGCTTTACAGGTAGCAAGCTACAGCTACTAGAATCCATCTAGTAGCATGGATTATGCTCTCTGCATTATTATTATTTAGAATATTTCTTTCCAGTAGCTGAGGCAGGTTACAGAAGGATGTGGAAAAGGGTTAACTGGAGGGTTTCATCCAATAATTACTGGGTATTGGTCTGCAGCAAGGGCTTGTGCAGAATGAACAGGATGCACCATGAGATGCAAGGCAAACTCTTTGGCAAGGAGTCTGCCAGGTGAGATGCARCCAAAATGCCCAAAGTTGTGGCGAATTCCCTGGTTGCTCCTTTTCAGTTTTGCCTACATGTGCGTGTGGTTCTGAAGCTCGGGAGGCTGCTCTGGAAATGTCCTCGGGCACAGCTGTCTTCTTTCCCAGCATACAAAGGAAATATATGAATGCAAAGGAAAAAAAAAACAAAGAAATCAACATTCCCTGTCCTCTTTCTTTGCATCTCCAGACAAAAATAGGATTTCACTTTGTTTGTTCCTCTTTCCTCACTTGTTTTCTCAGTTGCAAGTTACTCAGCATGCAAGACCTCGCGTTTGCCCTTTAACAGGGAACTTGCAATGGAGACAAAGGTATCCCACTGGATTCAAGGAACGGGATTTGGTCACATCCTATTTAAGTATCAAAATGGGGGTATGATATTGTTGCAAAGAAAGGTAAGGAAAGGAAAGACAACCAGCTGCTGCTGTGGCAAATAAATATCCTTTCTTCAGGAAGTTTTTATAGGCAGAAAAACGTTAACATATAGGATCAAACCTTGTCACATATAAACAAAAAAGCCCCCTCTCTGTTTCTCTCTCCATTTAAGGATACTTCTGAGTGCAGAGAGCAGAACGGTCTCAGACCATCAATTTACAGGCCCTAAGGAAAACAAGGAGTTCTGTCAGACATCCTCTTGGCAGACAATGCAAGACTTGAAACCYGTGTGCATGTTTGCATAGCTAATGAGTAATTTCCTCTGTCAGGGAAGAGCGGTGTGATAAGCAGCTTTTAGGGCACATAGACAGAGGAGAGTKCTGCCAGCACAGCACTCAGCAGTCTATAGTGTCCCATCTCCGCTGTTCAATATCGTTCATAGATTTTGAGGAAACTGAAAAAATATATAGTCAAAAAGAAATCACATTCCTCCTTCAAAGGACAAGCTACTGAAAAGAGTAACTTCTTAGTCACGCTGTCTGCCTGGGAAGGAGATTCCCTGGCCCTGCTCTTTCGGGGCTGCATCCTGCAYGGTGGGCGGCCCCGCGCGGCGCCCTGGGGGTGTCTGTGTACAGTGGGGTGCAGGAGCCCTGGGGGTGCCTGTGCACGGGGGGGTGCAGGAGCCGGACACGCAGAGCGAGACAGCRTTTCCAGGCTGAAACGCCTCGGCCCGACCAGCAGCTGCAGACACCAACTGAACTGCTCCGGTCATCCTCACAGGCACAAAACCCTTACAGCTGTGCAGCCTGCTTCAGAGGTTTGAAGCTGGGATACACAAATCTTAAGCAACATATATTTATTAAAACAATTTCTAGGTTTTCTACACATTTCTTCCAAGCTTTTCTTTTTTTCTTTCTTTCTTTTTTTTAAGATATTCAGATTCTGAATTTAATACCGTAATACAGATTTAAAATCATTATGAGCAGATAGCAAATCTGGGAAGATAGAGAAGAAATGAAAAATGATCCATTAATTGAAATTTCATTTCAAAGGGCTCATTCTCGAGAGAGAAACTAATTAGTAGAGGCAGTTGCATTTGCTTTCCAAGTATGCACCAGCTGTTTATCAAATGCACTGCTTGGCACCATTTGCTGTCCGGTCACTAACCTCCTACAGACTGGAGTTGCAGGGCTCTTACTTCAAAAAAAGAGAAGGTGGTGAAGATGAGAAAATGGATTTTAGTTCTTGCCCAGGTTATCCACAAGAGTGTATCACTATTTGACAACTTGATTAAGGAGCTGCAAATGGCGCATTGGATTCAGGCAGGGAGCTTAGAGCAGGGTTTAACATAGTCTTGGTAATTAACAGACAAAGCAAGAACAGTCATGAAAGCTCTCTGCAAGATGCCAGAGTATATGCATGAACCTGGTGTAAGTGGTGATATGATTTGCTACAGAATGAAAATAGTGTGAAAAAGTATCTTTCAGAAATACTTGGGAAAATGTATTTTCCCAAGGGGCACTCAAAAACAAACAAATCCACCACCTACTGATAGGAGACCTGTCAAATTCAGCTGCCAAAATAGAATTTGCTTATCTTTTGCAAACACTTCTTCTTCTGTCACTGACAGAAACCTTTGAAAAATATCAGGGCAGCTACTAAAGGTCACACACTGCTATTACCATATCACTTACCAAGGGGGTTTCAAGTTTACTTCTGGAGTAAAACCRATTTCCAAATCCTTTTGCAAACTATGCTTTGAGTTGTTTTTATTTCAACCATTTCTTCCATTCCTCCAGTGGTACTAATAAGCTGTATGTAATAAGTCTGTAAGGTACCCAAACTTACCATAAAGCAATTAATTGAACAGACAGATATCTATGCTAACTGGCGGAGAATTGTCCTTCTCCTTCAATAATGACCTTCTTGAAGAAACTGCCCTTAAAAGGCAACTAGGGAAAATCTCTGCCAA